TAGCCTTTTTGGCTTGCAAACTCATTAGCCTTTTTGGCTTGCAAACTCATTAGCCTTTTTGGCTTGCAAACTCATTAGCCTTTTTGGCTTGCAAACTCATTAGCCTTTTTGGCTTGCAAATTCATTAGCCTTTTTGGCTTGCAAACTCATTAGCCTTTTTGGCTTGCAAACTCATTAGCCTTTTTGGCTCGCAAACTCATTAGCCTTTTTGGCTTGCAAACTCATTAGCCTTTTTGGCTTGCAAGCTCATTAGCCTTTTTGGCTTGCAAACTCATTAGCCTTTTTGGCGTGCAAACTCATCAGCCTTTTTGGCTTGCAAACTCATTAGCCTTTTTTGGCTTGCAATTTCATTAGCGTTTTTGGCTTGCAAACTCATTAGCCTTTTTGGCTTGCAATTTCATTAGCCTTTTTGGCCTGCAAGCTCATTAGCCTTTTTGAGCATACAGTTGGGCCCCAAAGCCATCCAAAACCCCAATTCTAATTTTCCAGCATTCCAGGTCCCTCAGTCTACCATTCCGTTTTCAGATTGGCCAAGAGATTCCTCAAAGGTGCACAAGCCCCTTTTCTACCAGGTCTCCCAAAGAATAATCTCTCCCAAGCCCTTCAAAAAGGGGTCCCAAAACCTTGCCATGAAGTTGGTGGCTGCAACCGCGTCTTCCACTCCCATCTCGGTCTCCCCACACCGAACACCGAACACCGCATCTTCCAGGCAGGTCGAACTCTTCTGGGCCACGTTGACGGTCTGGTTTCGCCTGGCGCGGGGCGGGCGCGGGCGCTCGGATCGCTTGGGCGCTCGGATGCGGTGAACACTCGAGAGTGGTGGTGTACCCAAGTGGTTCTGGAGTCCAAAAGCAGTTCCGGGGTTTGCTCGTACTCTCGAGTCATATGAGTTTGAGTCTTTTGTGACCACTTGGGTCAAACCACCAGTCTACCGAGATGGGTCATACCAGTGGTCAAGACCTGTGGAGTCTTTACGTGTGTTTGCGGTCATACCAAGTGGCCATACCTAGGCCTAGCCGGGCCTAGCATCATCACCGTACCAGGACCCGGCCGTGACGAACCAACCCCAATCTACTCAGTTTTGTGTTGACGATGTTGCGGCGATGACCATGTTGTGCAAAACACTTAACAATGCCAAGGTGCCTCCAACTACATTGTTTCACCACTTGCTTTGATGGCCTGTTGATGGCCTGTTGCAACTCTTTTCCATCAACAGACATATATGAACTCTTAGAAAACTAAATATAAAAACTAAATAGGAAAAAGCATAAACAAAACTAAATATATTATACATATATATATATATCATTCTGATGACCACCTCCAATCCTCATGCTCCTGGCTGCCTTTCTCGAGGCCCACCTTGGTCTACCTCTACTCGCTGATCTTTTGGTCCGAAGACCTCAATCGGCTCTCCACCAAGGACATGAAAAAAGACCTCGGTGGTGTTGTTTCAGGTCGGTTTTGAGGATGTTGGAACCTGTAAACAGGTTAGGATCACAGACTGAACGTATTTCTCCGAACGTGATCGACGAGCGCAGTGGTCTTGCCCCAACCTGCCGGACCATGGCGTGGCAGCCAAGATGGAGGCTTCAGTGCCAGTGGACGAAAGGGGTCTACGGCGGAATAGTGTGGAAGGCATGGTTCGTGGGAAGTGACTTTTTCAGGGCGGCTCCACGCACTCTTGGGTAGGGTAGTTGTCAAAGGTCCACATGCAGTGCTGAAGCCCACCAAGGAATATATCTCACCCCCCAGGATGTGGGCCATCATGTGATGAGGTGGTCGACCGCTTGTCGACAAACTTTCTGCATTTTTTGGATGTGTCCACTTTGAGTGTGCGGGTTCACCTGCGATGAGTTGTGGTGGTTGAAGCAGACCGAGATTCGATCCAGGCAAAGGCTGCGCGCTTAGCCTGGGCCCAGACGACCGTATACCAGCGGGTCGGGGGGTATGCGGCGACTGACTGTCTGGGTAGGTTGAAGGTTGAAGGTGACATCATAAAGACGATACCCCAAAACCATACCCCAACGATACCCCGGTCGAGTGCAAAAGGGAAGTTCGACAGTGCCCATGGGCAAGTCCGCAAAGGGGCAGTCTTGTGTCTTCGTGGAGTGCAGGCAGGCAGGCTGGAGCAGCCCTCCGTGCGGTGATCCTTCCGCACTTCACAGAGCTCGTCACACTTCCAGTGTTTGCAGGGGATGCTCTCAGATACCAAACATTGTAAAACAATACGGGACGTCCTAACTTTGAATGAATACAGCTTAAGCAAGTAATATAGAAAACAAATCAGATGGTCTCTTGGCATGATGGTTTGATGTCGTGGCAGCGTGGGATTTCAGGTGCCTTTGGTCCGGTTGGTCTTGAAATGTTGCAGCAGTACCTTAGACAGCTTCGTTTGATGTCTGGCCTCGGGGCCAATAGTGCGGCAGCTTGCTTGGCTGCGTTCCAGGTTGAAAGAGATCAGTCCGATCGAACTCAGGCTTTGCGTTCATGCCGGGAGATTCAATCCTTCTTGTGGTTTCTGGGTGAGCTGCCACTAGCTGATCGCGGTGCTGTATGGGCGATGATTGGTGAAGAGTTGTGCCCATACAGGGCTTCAGGCACCTCCCTGTTTGACACGGCGTCACGGCGCTCTTGGAAGAAGAAGTTCTTCATGGCCTACGTGGAACGCGTGAAGCGATTGAACCGACCATGAATGCGCTTGAGGATTTGACGGAAGGACCTCCTGGCAGGGATGCGCCGGTGCAAGTTAGAGAACCCTTTTTGATTCCGCCTCCGTCTCCTGAGCGGTCTCGGACGCTTTTCGTTTGGACGCTGCACTTTTCTCTGAGTCTCACCTGGTTCAGGTGAGGTTGGGTCGTCACTTTTCCGTGGAGATTGGTGACGTAGATGTGCCAGAGAGAATGTCAGAAGATACGCCAGAAGAAAGTGAGAAGATGCGCCAGAAAGAATTCCAAGAGATATGACAGAAACAATGTCAGAAGATATGCCAGAGATAATGTCAGAAAGAATATCGTATGAAAAAATGTCTGCAGATATGCCAGGTAGAATGTCAGAAGTGATGCCAGAAAAGATGTCAGAAGATATGCCAGATAGAATGACAGAAACTATGCCAGCATGTCAGAAGAGATGCCAGAAATATATATATATAATGTCAGAAGATGTGCCAAAAATAATATCAACAATAATGTCCGAAGATATGCCAGAAAGAATGTCAGAAGTTACGCCAAAAAATTGCAGAAATAATGTCAGAAGATATGCAAACAATGCCAAAATAGTGTTTCAATACATGCCAGAAAAGTAATTGGTTTCTCTCGTCGTGATGTGGAATCAAAAAGTAAAAAGATGTTCCCGATGAAAAACAAGTAATGAAGGTTCAAAAGTCTGAGACTGGTATCCATGAGGTTTGTCAATGTTTGTCATTTGTGGCGCTGATCCACGGTCGACTCTTGGACTTGAGACCAGCGATGTGTTAAAGAAACATCGACTCAGACATGCAGACATGCGCCGCCGAGGTGGTTCGGGCGACATGGGTAGCAGGCTGCAGTACCAAGATCACTGGTGCGCAACCATGTCCAAAGTCTCGCATGTTTGAGTTGTGATCATTTCCTTATGAAGATATGGGTGTCCGCGCAGAGGGGGAACCTGCGGGCAGCCTCACACTTATGCCAATATTTGGGGAATTTCAATCAGCCTACGAAATGACATTGCGAAACTAACCACAAAAGTAACGAAAGCAATCTTCGATATGGCCAGAACAACCTGCGGAATACTGTATGTTTTACCGGGATTCATCAACTTATGCTGTTTTTTGGCAGCAGCGAAACTATTCCCTCGTCTTAGGAGTTTTCATCATTTCGGAAGATGACCTTTAAAAGACTAACCAATTTGCAAAGTATACAATCAGGTGTTCGTATGAATTCGTATGTGTCCCACTCATTCTATCCAAGTCAGTTTGTCTTGCATGGATGACTCAAAACCTCGTTGTCTCACCACTGCCGGACCAACAAAATCATCCTAGCACTGTGGGAGGAGTCTTGGACCTATCACGGCATGGCCATTTTCTTTTCAGCTTCTCAGCTGCAAAAAGCACTGCCAGAACGCGCGCGCGTGCTTCTTCTTTTTGGCTGCCAGTCATCATCTAAAGGTGGATGGGTTTCGAACGCGACCGGAAAGTCCCTCCCAATGTGGAAGATCATGTTTGATGAATGAAGGTCTTAGTTCAAGACCTTAAAAAGAACTTACTGGGATCACAAAGTGCTACCCTTGGTGGGTCAATCTTGAGCCAAAACACGCAGGCGCGAATTTACTGTGGGGCCGCAGTGGGGCCCACAAATTCTCGATGAATGGGTGGTGCCCAAATATAAACGTGTGAGGTTTGTTCTCAGTATGGCACGGCGACACAAGTTTCCCAAAAGGTGAAGTAAGATCTCATTGAAGCACATCCAGAACCATTGCAGCTGCCCAAAAAGGCACGCCCGCGAATTCCGACGCCGTCCCAACCACCGATGCCCCCAATTGTTCGGAAGGATCAGCGCCGTCCCACCATCGTGCGAACGAAGAAAATCGGCGCGCGACACGTGACGAAATCGTGGCGCCGAGATTTTGAACTGGGGCTTGGCCAGCACCTTCCTGACGGCCTGGCGGAAGAAGGTGGCGCCACGCGCTCTGCGCGGCCTTCGATGCGTGGTACACCGCAGCTCCGAAACGGGGAGAGAGAGACGGGCGAAAGCGAAACGCCAAGTTTTTTCATCAAGGAGAATGTTTTGTATAAGGATGTTTCAATTTTGGCAGTGTATGCTGTTTAAGTTTAGTCACTGCGTATGTTCATCATCACCATCATTAGAATTATAGACATTTGTTTGCATGAAGTCATGCCTGGGTTTCCCTCATCATGTTGTTCCTCATTTCTATCTCCGAAACATGCGCTTGGCCAAGCCGATAAGCACCAACACAAGTCCCATCGCATGGACACGGACAGGAACCCACCTCGAATCTTGTACACCCAAAATCCTTAGATTTTTGAGCAGGACAGGCAAAGTGAAGCATCCCGTGCCACAAAAGGATGCTGTGTTGATACACAGTTTGCCAGTATTCATTTGTCAAGTTGAGATGCTTCCAGTGTGGTTCATGCATCAAGTCTACACAGCCACAGACGCTATGCCCTGTTTTTCAGCATGGCCTTGCTTCAGGACATGGATATGGCTGAGAGCTGTTGGGACCTGAGACAGAGCTATTGGGAATTGGAAACACCGAGTTGGCAGGTTGAACCGAGTTGCCTTGGTCATATCGCTCGAACCGTTGTTTCGCCGCGTTTCTCCATGTTTCTCCCGAGATGTTGGAAGACATGACTTCTTCCATCAACCATAGTTGTGGCCTCCAGTCAAGTGGCTGGCCTCCAGTCGACCTCCCAACAGGTACACCAAGTTCATCAACAGAACAGTCGAGTCTACAGGCTTGGTTCAGTTCCAACCTACACCCGAAGCACCTGTCATGAGTCATGACTCTTGCTGAGAACGAGTTCTGAACAACGTGGGGATGGCTGTAGTTGTAGGGGTCATGTTCCAAAAATCACCAGCAGTGACATGTCCAATGTCCAAAGACTGGAAAGATGTGCGGTAGAATGCTGAACTATTGCAAATTAGAATGCACTCCTCCTTCTTTGACCTCTCACAGAGATATTTACACCGTTACACCCATACACTCCATGAATGGCATATCTACGTATACATTGAGGTGGTTGATTTCAGTGATCCATGCAAGCAAATGTATAATTAGTATAATCAAGTATCATCAATTATCATTATCATTATACATGACTATTACATGTTGTGTTTTGGCAAGGAAAACCAGTTCCATCCCGAACTCGGACGCCGACCTCGGGGTGGCCGTGCGCCGCCGAACTCCTCAGGCGCCACGAAGGCGAAGGACTTCGAGGAGAAGTTCCGTCAGCTGCTGCACCCGGAGGATGAGGCGCGGTTCCGTCAACCACGCGGCCTTGGGACCGAGACGAAGCGGGAGGAAAACGGTGTTTTTGGACGTTTGGGGGGGCACCCACCCGGAGTGCGAAGGACGGATGGTGTGGAAAAGGATGCCTGGTGATGGATGGTGTTTTCGCCGTGAGCCTTGGGCGGTTTTGGGAGCTACCGGAAGGAAGGGAAAAGGGGGCGTGGAGTCTTAGCACGCGCGATGGCCGCTTGGGGCGGCGACGGGATGAAGTATAGCCTATGTTAACATTGACAAGTCTTTAAGTCCAATTTATCCCAATGAAAGCAGGGTTCAGGCAGACGTTCGTCTTGTTGCAGGAGTTCCAAGGCAGGCCGTTCTCGTTTCGGACGAAGAAGTCCTTTCATACGTACACATGTGTGTGATATGTACCAGGACCATCCTGTTTGGGTATCCTGGTTGGACTACCCTACACCACATAGGGATCTCCAGCCAGGACAGACAGGATGGTCCAGGTATGATTTCTGCTTGGTCCTGGAAGATTGAAAAAAGGACTAGCCTAGCTTACTTAGCCCAGGAACATCTCAGTTACAGATTATAACTTTGGTATAATCCCCCGATATCGCCACGTTACAAACTATGGAACTCCTCAAAGGTGAGGGTTGCCCCGGTTTGTTCGATGGTGATGACAGGTACCTCAATACTCGCAAGTGTCCGCGGCACCTTTTACTGGTAATGATATGTAGCAATACTTGTGGACAAAGTTTTCGTGATTTAACTTAACCCTCATGTAAGTCCACAAGGTAGTTCAAACTGGATTACACTGGTGGTTTGCGTGCTTACACTTAACCAGTTTGGCTCATGTAAGTCCAAGCTCTCCAAGCACGCAAGCACCACCCAGGCTCATGTGGCTGAGAAGGAGATGAAGGCGACGAGAATGTCCGGCCTGCCGTGTAGCGGTTTGGAAGAGAAATCTCCGGCTTCTGGTCGAGAATTCTGCGTTTGGCACAGACGTGCGGCATATCAAGCGTGCTTGCGAGGACAAGCAAACGTGCTGGGAAGAAACACAACCCCAAAAACTGTTCAATAGACATGGACATCCTGAAAAGAATTATGGTGAAAGATTCCCAGAGATGTAGAGGTATGCTGTTCTCAACTGTTTGCTTCCAAACCTCCAACAACCAAAAAGGGAACTTCCACGTGCGTTCTCTTGGCGAACTTCCAAACCGGTTCAGTGGTTCCGGACGATGTGTGTAGTGTGTCGGGTCGGTTGCAGGATTCTCAGATGATCTCCCACAGTCTCTGGGGGCTAACAGTGAACACCCACAGTCGTGTTGATTGGTGGGTCGCAAGACCTCCACAACAGATCGCAAGAAAAGAGCCTGTGGAACTGTAGTGCTTGATCTTGAATGTTCGTGAGAAAAACGCACCTGTTTGTTGCCCGCATTCACTGTTGATAAAGAAAAACGCCATGGAGCTGGGTGGGGTGTCGCTGAAAGTAAGACATTCTTGAAACATGCAAATAAACTAGCTGGTGCGATTCGGAGGGAGTGACTGAGGGTCGTTGGGGGTATCCATATTGTAAATGTGTGGCCCTTGTTGGCTTGCTGTGCCCGGCATTTGTTGAGTGCTTTTTTCTAGACAACCCACCCTATCATGACCCTACGTGGCTGCTGCAGCTCATCACCCACTGCAATGTTAAACACGACAACGACACCAAACCATGATGCTGACAACACACAATGACGGCACCAAAGAAGTAAGCACATTTGTTCTTTCTCATCTCCTGTCCTGTCCGGTATGGCGCCAGGAGGAGGAGCAGAGCATTGCAGAGGACTTGCCAGAAGTGGTCAAGAAACCATTGATGCAGGCGGCCTTTCGTGGACTAGAGTGGATGCCGATCGACTGAGGGTGAGTTCAGTCGACGCGTTGAAATGAGTTCCGTTCGCACGGGAGAGGGCAGCTGCCGACCTTGTTGATGAAAGAAACATGGATGACGAAACGAGACCTCTTTCTTGTGTGTCAGGAATTCAAAAGGTGGAAATTTTGCATGGCAGGGGTTGTGTCTACGTGAGCGCGCTGCGCTCCTTTTCGCGCTTGAAAAAAGGGCTTCAGTATGTCAGATACACTTGATCATAGCCATAAGGCCTTGATCCGGCTGGTGTGCAACCTTCTACACATGTTCATAGCCAAAAGGTCGTGACCTGGCTTTCGAAACTTGGTACACTTCTATTTGTGCACCCACACTCCCCCTTTGGCCGACATGGCCGAACTTGGGGTCACAAATTGACCAAAAACTACCTCCCTTTTGGAGGTGTGCTCAAGCCCCTCTCTCACTTTCTAGCTGGTCTTAAAGAGCGTGTAGCCCACCCAGCTGAACGGCAGGTATTCGCTCTTCCGGCCCGATCGCTGGTCGACCACGATCAACTTGGTCTTCCCGAGGGTGCTTCCGATCACCTGCCATGCGATCGTCATTCGCCATGGGCTCCACTCATCTTGGTCCCAGAGCTTGGCGCTCTCGAAGTCGAACATCTTCTTTCGATTCTGCATGTGCTCCCTCACCGTGATCTTCTTGCCATGTTGATGGTCCTCCAACAAAAGCCAATCGTCTTTGGCTGAGGTCCTCCTCGGCGGGATCCCCACCCTCCGACGGAGCTTCTCCGTCAAGAAACCCGGCTGGAAGTTGAGGTCCCCCAAGAAGTCCAGCACTTCCTCATTCTTCACCTCCCACCTGCCCATCGTGATGCCGTAGCCGACATGGGTGACGAGTCTTATAGGGCCATCGAACGAGGGACCAATCCCTGGAGTCGACTCCAACAGCTCCGGCTGTCGATCTGCGGCTCCCTGTCCTTCTCCGTGGTCTTCTCCATCACCTCGTGTTTGGCTCGAGGCTGATGTCTGCACCTGCCGGTCCATTCCAGGCTCACTGTAGACGAGATGAGTCCCTTCTGAATCCAGCCTGACCCAAGTTGTAACAAAGTTCCTCCTTGGGCCCCTCCGCTGCATCATCCGATCCCATGCTGCCGGTCCCAATCCCAGCTGAGCTCTCCTGGTCGTCTCCACCTCATAGTTGTACTCTCCACGATGCCATACATCTGGATCGGGTACTTGATGGCGTCCAGCTGGTTCAGGTCGGACAGCAGGTGGTTCCTCCAGAACATCCATCTCCTGTGACTCCGATGGCTGCCCAGTGGATGCCCTCCGAGTCTCTTCTGGTCTCGGGTCCACCCTCATCGCTCTCACCGAGATCCTGTTCACAGGGTTTCGAGTCCCCAGTTCCTGATGCTGGTAGGACGGGTCGTCTGGCTCCGCCCAGGGGTAGAGTTCTTCATGGGCCGAATAGCCAAATCCTCGTGATCCTCTGGTAGTCGTGGTCAACTCATCCACACAGCTCACCTCCAACTCCAGGATCTTCTCGATGACGAGCTGAGCGACGCGATCCCCCTTGTAGATCCTGAGGTCCACATCTGAGTGATTTCTCAACAGCACTTTGACTTCTCCCCTGAAGTCTCTGTCGATCACTCCAGCCCCAGTCTCAATGCCTCGAATCGCCAACGACGACCGTGGTGCCACACGTCCATAGCTGCCCCTCGGAAGTTCCAAAGCGATCCCAGTCTTGATCAGCACACTGTCCCCTGGCTGCACCATGGTCTCGATGGTGGAGTAGAGGTCCAACCCAGCAGCCTGCTCCGAGCCTCTGGTCGGGAGGATGGCATCAGGCGACAATAGTTTCACCTTCAACTCCTCCTTAGGCTTAAACCACCTCTGCACTCCCGCCGCCCTGACTCTGAAGAGGATATCGCCCAAGATGGCAATCGCTGCCGTGATCAGGACCAAGATCCACCACTCGCTGCTTCCCTCTTCCTTCGAGTCCTCCGAGGCCTCTGCACAGGTCACCATGCTCGCAACTGCGATCAACACCCCCAGTCCTCTCAGAAACTTCGGGTCCGGGTTCTTTCCTCCAAGGTCAATCTTCTTGATCTCAATGCCTCCAACTGCCTCCGTGCGCTCCAATCCCAAGTACTTCTTGAAGCTCCTCAAAGGCTGTCCAACCAGCTGCTTGGTCATGCCATCCGCCACCAACTCGGTTCCAGCGACATGTTGGAGGATGATTTCCCTTGACCTCAGTGCCTCTGTCAGCCCAGCTGCCCTGATCCTCAGGTGCCGGGTTCTCCATGACGATGTCGTTCCGGCAGCGATAGCAATGGCTGCTGTGGAGTCAGAGTGAGCTTGATGGGTATCTCCCCCCCGAAAACCGCCTTCACCAGTGCTCCAATCGACCTCGCCGTGCCCTGTTCGCCAGCATCTCAGATCGGATCGACGCTGGCACTGCGTTCAGAAGCATCAGCTGCCCTCGCTGCTCCAATCTGCTCCACACGGTGTTGCACTCTCGAGGCACTTCCGCCTTGATGTGAAGCCTCTGGACCGGCTCCGCTCGAAGCCATTCCCGATAGGCCATCATAGCCCCCTGCAGCACTTCCCACCACCTCCATGAAGTAGCGCTGAGGTCCCTCATTGTCAGGGAAATGAGCTGGATCCAATCTCCCAGGACCAGTGATCCCAACTCACCTTCTCGAAGATCGACTGACCTGATCACCTCGCCCCAGCCTCTATCCGTGGCTCCAGTGCCCAACTGCCTCAAGACGGACTGGGCGGCTTGTTCAAGAGGTGAGCCCTTACTCAGGTCTCCATTTCGTTCTGCACAGTCAGGCAGTCCTCCACGTCCAGGTCCTAGCCCTCCTTGGGTTCCGGGGTATGGAGTCCCTGCCACTTCCTTCCCTTCAAAGCTCTGCCCCTGCCCTCCTTGGTGTCCAGCCTGAAGTGCTCCCAACCAAGATTCCGGTACGGGTGGAGCTCCACGTCCAACGTCATGACATACTCCCGGTTGCCATTGAACTGGATCAGATAGCTTCCCAGGTTCTCCTCGTCGTTCAACTCCTGGAAACTCTGGAATCGCTCCGAGGGAGGTCGTGCCTGCACCCTTCTCGGCCTCTGGGGTTTCAGGCGGCGGTCCCGATGGTGGACTCGGCGGAGGTGTCGATGCCGGAGGCTTTGGTCGATGAACCTCCTTGAAAGCCCGGTCCTTCTCCTTGCCGGAGTCTTCAATCCTTTTCTTCAAGTCCGCCAACTCCCTCTTGGGCATCGAATTCTGTGACATGACCGCTCGAAGAACCTCTTGGATGTCAACTCCCATCTCTTCTCCACCAGATGCCATAGGTCTCGTCGATGATGTAGATGTCTCCGGGAGTCCAGCTGGCCTCATGGCCCGGAGCATGGCCTCGTCCTTGACAGTCTGGCTCCAGAATGGGTTGACTTCCACCGGTCTCGAGGTTCCATGTCCCTTGCCATCCTTCTTGCGGCTTTCTTCCCTCCTCTGAGGCCCATAGGTTGTGGGTGGTCCGTACGGTAGGAGTTCTCCCGTCACCGCGACCAGCGCACCCTCCTTTGCTGCGATGTCTTCGATCGCCAGAACTCCCTGGTCCTCTTTGGCGCTTTCCATCGAGCTCGCGCCTTCGGGCGACTCCGCACCAGCTCCACCCATCGCCGCTTCAGCGCCGCCAGCCGCGCCAGCGCCAGCGCCAGCTGCCGCCCGCGGCATAGCGGCCAACGACCCGAGGATCCTCACGATCCGCTCGGGGTGGACTTACGGCCCTTGGGAAAAGGTTGGGCTCATAACCTACGTGAGCGCGCTGCGCTCCTTTTCGCGCTTGAAAAAAGGGCTTCAGTATGTCAGATACACTTGATCATAGCCATAAGGCCTTGATCCGGCTGGTGTGCAACCTTCTACACATGTTCATAGCCAAAAGGTCGTGACCTGGCTTTCGAAACTTGGTACACTTCTATTTGTGCACCCACAGTGTCAACCTGCACATGCTCAATTTTTGGGGTCGCTTGTTGGGTCAGGATACTAATCCTACATGTATTTTTGCACATTTACAGGCAGACAGAAAGAACTACACTCCCGACACAGAGGGGGCCCAATAGATTTGTCATGTTGGTTTAGTTCTTTTGATGTTGTTGGCATCATGTGTTCAAAGGCTTTATGTTGCAGCTGCAAAGCTATACAGTTCACTTCACATTTGCGGACAAACACAATCTCTGTGAACCAGAGAGACAGGATGTGTTTGAGAACTTCACAGGACTTGACAATCTTGTGAACCAGAGAGACAGGATGTTTTTGAGAGGAACCCAGATGTTCCCAGAACAGAACCTATGGGAACCAGAACTGAACCAAGCGCGGCTGCTCCGCTCCGCGGCAGCTCGCGCGGCAGGTGACCCCCGAGCTCTTCGCCAGCAAGGCACGGGGGGGGGGGAAGACGACAGCGGGGGAGGTCAGCGAGAGAACTCAGGTTCCTTCAATTCAGCTGAGCCTCTCCAGAGGTGAACACCCTAAGAAGAACTGAGGTTTTCCCCGCGGGGTGGGTTATTTGTTCTGCAGTCACAACCTGGCCAAGGAATAGACGTTCAATTTTCCTGGATATCTAGAACAAAGAGGGTTTGTGGTTTGTTGCTACTGCTTATGGCCGACAACAAGTGAAGGTTGTCTCAGAAAAATGCGACTTGTCAAGCATGTTTGCTAATGAGCCATCCAGTACCAGGACAACCCCAACATCGGGTCACCCAGAACAGTGGTTTTCTTTGCCAATTCTTCAATGTCCAAGCACGACCGTTTCTCCGTTGTTTTCCCGTCGCGGTGCAAAAAAACCTTTTTATTCCCTGATCCACACCTGGCTTGACTCTGGTCACTGGACTCGTGGACTCGAAGGTTTCAGGAGTTCTTCTTTTCCGCTGCCGATCTGAACAAAAGCACTGCTGATGGCTCTGCACGCCGCTGATGGCGAGGGCTCCGTGAAGTCATCGGGGCAGTCGACCGGCTTCGCTTCATCGGGTCCACCCGCTTCACACCGTCGCCTCGTCGCGTCGACCCGTCGAGGTGCAGGGTGAGTCTGGCGAACTCTGGCTCGAGGCCGGCGCCGCAATTGGTGGGGCCGTGGCAATCCGGTGGACCGGTGGTGTTGGGGACCCAAAAGTCTGGAAAAATATGATGCGCCACCTTGTTGGTTAACCAACCTTAGCCACGTTTACATAGTGTTTTGGATCCTACAAGCAACATTGAGTCACTTGGCCAGTGCACACACAGCAATCAATTTCTGTAGGTGTCCCTCGTCCTTGGTAGCAGATGTTCCACTCTTTTTGGTCGATTGACCGGGTGAGTTGGAAAATCCAAGAACTAGCTGGTTCGGCGGGACATGCAACTGAGTGAGGACATTCCAGGAGCCGAGAAACAAGGAGGCGAGGCCAACGGAAGGCCAAACAGGAATTCCTCCACATCATGTGAGTTGGAATGTCATGATTTTCCAGTCTTTGAGTCTTTGGTAGGAGTTGAGTATAGTTTGTGGCCACGTCAGATTTGTGATCGACACACTGAACGCAACTGCTGAGTATTTAGACTTTCTTTGGGTAGCCTTAAATAGTCTCGGAATGAACTAGGCGCCTAGCTATCAGACAACTCCTGGATGTGCAAAGGATATTGGTTAGGGGCCTCCATGTTCGTGTTTGTCTAGCGCATGACCGGGCTGTGTCTTCTTCGCCGAGCGAATGAGCACGCATGAAGATCATCCCGCTCTGAGCACGCCCACTGAGAAGCTGGTTTCTTCCAAAAGGTGTACTGTTGGATCATGAGGAAAACTGGAATCCTGGCTCCCAAAAACGAACTACCCCCAAGAGACTCTGCAGTTCCAACTGCAGGATCCATCAGATCCAACCCACCCTTCGATGATCCAACCCACGTGTCCTACCGTTTCATCCGCAGATCGACAACGTGGCCTACGACCTCACTGAGTTCATAGGCGCCGCGCCGCGCCTCCACGCGGCACCGCGGCGCCGCGCCAGCGACACCGGTATCGATTTGGTCCTTGCAAGCTTTGACATTGAGAGGCCCAATGATACCTATTTGCCGGGTAGTAGAGGAGCAGCACCAAATACCGAGTGCACGGGAGGATGAACGACGTACATGTACACACACAACATGTCAATGTTTGCTTCTAAGACTCTGCACACTACTAAGTGTTCATCATCCAGGTCCAGAGATTCCAGGTTTGCTTTTTGTTCAGGTTTTTTCTAAGCTCCCAACTCTTCTTCGCAAAGCAACAGATGTTCATCAGGGAAAAGGTGCCGGTTTTCATGGTGGTTTGGGACCGTGGTATCCTTCTCACCGCCTGGACAGTCCCACTCTCGGCGATTGACCTTGCGGCGACGGACCTTGCGGCGACCGAACGGCGGCGGAGCACGGTGTGCGCGTCCGGATGGCTGGATGTCGGGACGAAAGGAAGGGACGAGTAGCTGAGAAGGAAGTCCCTGGAACATGGCCAAAGGTTCCTCCGAATTGGGTGGCTCGGGCTGCCCTGCACGGCCATCGCAGGATCCGCAGGTGCGGTCCGGCGGTCTCACGTCTCGCACGGGAGGTCGGAGTGCATGCAGGAGCTTCACGTTGATCTCGACCCCAAGGCGTTCTGGCAGAACAGGTTAGCAGCACTTCCGTTCAGAAATGTACTTCTTGCTGGAGGAGACTTCAACACCTCATTGCAGTCCTCCAATCGAGCTGATCTTGGTGGCGCTATTTCGTTCCTGCAGGCGGTGCGTGTAATGATTCATGCAAATGAATCTTTTTCAGACTCGCCAATGGCATGACGGATGCTGGGGAGCAGCTCCAGTCTGCCCAACTGGCTTCTCAGGTAGAAGGTGGAGCAACTTACAATGCAGAAAATAAATTCCTGGATGGTAGGGTTTGTTTGATTTGTATGGCATTACGCGGCCACCATTCCGAGGGCCCCATGCTGGTGCCTGGTAAAGGTAGAAGACGATTCATGTATTTTCATGTCGAAAGCCACTTGTGCAATCAAAACCACAGGCACCTCTCCCACCCAACTTGGTCGCCCGTCTTGTAGATGCATGCGGCCGGATTCCCCTTAGTCACGACGGAAGTCACTCCAGGCAAACATCCCGGCGGCGACCAGATCCTCCGGCAGTTTGCCGGTAAGGACGCTTCCAAGGCAGGGATCTTCCGTCTGGGTCGGAGGACGGGGCTTCCGTCTAGGCCGGGTGAGGCAGGAAAAGGAGCCTTCTCCGCTTCAGTTCGGGTGCTTGGGGGCAGGGTGACTGGGAGAGTCGAATTGTCCTGTCCGCAGAACTGCGGAGATGGAGAAAGAACCCTGGCAGACGAAAACACGATTGATCGTCATGGACACCATGATGAAACTAAACAAGCAGATATAAACGACATAAGTAGACCATGTCCACCAATCTCCCGACTCCATGTCACATGGGAGATCCGACTTTGTGTGACTTTGTGCTTTGCAAAGGGGGCACAGATGTAATCAATTGTAATCATATAGATCTTCCAACTGTGCAAAGTTCTGCCTTTTGGCTGGTTTTGTTGAAAAGGCAAAGTTGGAAGATCCAAGTATATACATATATATGTACATTACTATATACTAGTTTTTTACATTGCTTTTGTATAACGGCGACCGATGAGCTAAAGGACGAAACATGATGAGACCTCTCAACGACCTTGGGTGCCTTTCCGTTTGGCGCCTTTCCTTTTCGTTGCGCTAGTCGACCATTGATTCACTTGGCCGGTGGCCGGTGGACACATGTGTTGAAAGATGTTGAAAGTAGACCACCTTGTTTCAGTCATGGAAGTGAGTTGGCAGGCCCCGGCAATGGCAAACTACCAGTCCTTTGTGGAAGAAATCTATCAACTGGCCCCGTACCAAAATCGTCGCACGGAAACCGCGAGAGCGGCGTGTGCAACTCGCTGTGCGACCGTGTGTTGAGGCCTTCCACAAAGCCAAGCACTCCATGAAAGCAAAGATGCAAATGCAGATGCTTGGAATAATTGGGGTAGGTCGCACCCCCATTTCACCACCCGACACCGGGTTAATGAACCTGAACGACAGGAACTTCTTTCTGGGAAGGTGAACCTACCACTGGGCAAAAAGGGGCAGCTTCTAGGTTTCGAACTGCGGCTGCGAGATGTGTTTGTTGTTGTTGTTGTTGTTGCTGTTGCTGTTCCTGTTGCTGTTCCTGTTGCTGTTGTTGTTTTTGTTGTTTTCTTTTTCTTCGAAGGGACAGGGGATGGAATAGAATTCTTGACAGTTGGTGAACATGGAGGGAAGACCTTGAACCCTGATCCGATTGTGGCTGTCTCTTTCCCGAAGAGAGGATGTTGGCCTGACTGTTCCTGTTTCAATGAGTTCACCAACGGCAGTTGTACCTCTGGCTATAACAACCAGATTATTTGTTGAGGTAAAAGATCTATATAACTCAGACGCTCCATGTATGGAATATATGCCGATCAGTTGGGGTGGTTTGGGGGGTCAATGTAGGCATATATGGCATACATGGAGCGTTTGGGTAAAGCCAACAACCAAGGGATTCCGCATGGCAACAAATTTGAGACGGTTTTGGAAGACGACGGTGGTACCTGACATGTGCACCTCGGAAGCCTGGTTCGAGGCCAGGGTGATCACCCCATCACCCGGTGATGCAGAGACCAATGCAACGACTCGGTTCACCCGCGACCAGACATGGTGAGAGCCCAGAGTGCTTTGTTTCGTTTGTGGACGGAGATCCTGGCGGCAGATCTATCATGTTTTGCACTGTGCTTTGTGAGCTCGGTACTTGAAGCTGTGGGCATTCGAGTGGTGCCTCTGATCATTCTGATCTCCAAGCAAAGTGATCTGCACGGTGCGGGCAGGACGCCCGTGGTCGAGGGACAGGACCCCCCTTTAAAATCCGGAACGAGGCGGTCCTGCGCGAAGCTCCTCCACAACCCTGAGACAGACCACTCGTCCTGGCCTGCGGGACAAAAACATGCATGGATTCATATGGATCTGCTTGAGGGACATGGAGTTGCCGTGTGTGACCTCAGACGTTTGTATCGAGAGGATTGTTTTTCAAAGACCTAAGACTGCACGTTTCCATGAACTCCTTCAGTGACTGAACATGTGGGGTGGTGCAAGACCGGTCTGAGTGACAACCCCTGCGTTCTGAGGATTTTTGGATGGGGAGTCCTGACGCATGGTGAGAGCTTTCTCAGCTTGATCAACTCATGAATCGGGTGGTCCATTTTTACAGGATTTCTGGATGATTCTGAATGCTTGATCGTGATCTTCCCAGACCTCTCCTTGACACCGCCTCACGTCATGTGGGGCCTCATGTGAGCTACCAAGGATGTATTGCGTGGGGCCCATGATGAAGGACTGATTCGCCACCCCTTCATCGCGTTCACTCGCGGGATGGGGTCAAAATCCGCAAGACCACACGAAACACACAACACACACGCAGAACTGAGAAATGGATGAAGGATGATGAAGGGAAGAGTGTCCTCCTCAGACGGGCGGAACACATTCCTTAGTGAAAGCAACATGGATGCTCTCGAATCCTCTTGCCACACTCCCCTGATGGTGAACACTGCTTGGTGAAGCTCAAATTTTTGAGGTACTGAGGTTTGTTCAAACAGAGCAAAGGGGTGTTCATTTTTGTGTGCCCCTTACTAAATATCGTTGCTTGGATCAATCAATGGAATTGTCCCTTACGTCAGGAGTAGAGGACCTACCGCAGTTGATCTTTGACTCTGGGTTTTGGGGGACCCTTTCTTTAACAAAGGAGTCCCGCCCACAGGTCAAAGAGAGTTCAGCACAGGAGCCGCGAAGGAGCCTGACTACGACAGGCTGTTGAATTGTGTGATTCACTTATTTGGGTAGTGTACGATTATTTACGTAAATTGGGAAACCCCCAAAACCAATCGGTTTTGGTCTATGTCCCTTCTTCCAGGAGAGGTCCTATATTTTAATCCACGCTTCTTCGGAGACCGAAACCCACAATGGCCATGATGGAAGTGGAACGGGAGTTTGGGGCTTGGAATGTGGGTTCTTGTAAGACCCAGACACGTGTCCGTTGGTCGGCAGAACCCTGCCTGTGCTTTCTGACTGGCAGGAACTCAAGGAGTATAGGATCTTCGAACACACCAATGCACGGGAAACCCAGATGGTATGGCTTTCGGCCGGTTGAAATCAATGAACGCTGAGGCTGCCAACAAACGGTTTAGGTTATTTGCAAAGTTGGACAGTCATTTCTCACTGATTTGGCTGTTAGAAACTGCCAGAGACACACCGCCTGACTTCTTGTTCTGTCAATGTGTGCATTCGTGTGATGTTGGAGAGGATCCCCCCAGCATGTCAATCTGTCGAAAGTGCACGAACTTGACGCGCCGAACGTGCAAGAAAAGCAGTTACTCTCTCAGTGGCTCGCCGGCTAGCCTTGATGCTTCAGTTTGCTCAGAGTGTTCATCGATATCAATAAGTGACTTAAGAAAGACATTTGCTCCCATTGAGAGGGTGAGCCAATGAAAAGCTGAATCAGTAGCTCGTGTGGCAGCCATGACTTTTCAGCCTTCAGTATCCATGGAGTAATCCCAAGACACATTCATCCATGTGTATGTGAAATTATGTCAAACTTCCCATTACTCAGCTCCTGATACACAACCATTGGAGGATCTTCCTCTATCCGACTCTATGTGTGTCTCATGAACTTCGATGGGCCAAGGAGGTGAGAACGCTGTCCTTTAGCTTCATGCAAGTGGCGCGGCCTCCCAGTTGGATTGGTCAACCCCGGGGGTGGTTTTGTGCAGAAGGTGTGCCAGAAGGTCTGCCAGAAGCGGCAGTTGATGTGGGGAGGGAAGGTCTCCAAGTCTTTGATTGAAGGGTTGTTTGTTCGATTAGAACAACTCTACATTCGCGGCCTCCAAGCTAGTAGCTTCTTGTTCCTATAGTAGTAATGGCCTCCACCTACATCCGCGATATCGTCTCAAGAGGACTTTGCCACATGGGCATCGTAGTAGGAGTCCGCTGCGACCGACGTGTGGTCCCATCGCTTCGGTGGTGTCAATACAGGTGCCAGGAGACCTGGGTTGCCAGGAGGAACCAAAGTCTATCAACATCTAACCGCATGAGTAAGTCGTATTGATACAAGTTCATACAAGTTTGATTTTATATCGAACAAAGATGCTTCTACAAGTGTTTGCAGCCGCCATTCACTACATTCAGGTCTGTCCATATCAGTCCCCATTTTTTAGGCCGCTACCCACTCTCAATGGGTAGGGGTATAGCCCGAAGTTCCACCAATTTTGATCACATTCAGAGCAAGGAACAACAAGGAACACATGGCATTCCGAAGACCTCTTTGGTGCCAAAAGTCGGTCGCAGGAGATGTTTTTTCCCCTTCAGAAAGGCCTTGTCAACGTATTATCCTCGAAAGTGGTTTCACATATGTTCAACGGCGTGTTCAAATTGGTGTGTAGCTCAGTCTTGGGTAGACCGAACCCTAGGCGGTCCGACCCCCTGGAAGAAGGAAAGTGTACCAGTCTACCCATTGATTGGGGATCTCCCTATAAAAATACACCCACATTGATGTCACATGATATTATGTGTTAAAAATATATATTATATATATATATTATTATATATATATATATATTGTTAAATTACATATGTATATATATATATATGTTGGTTCAATGAATTATTTGTGTCAACGTTTCACCTCAACCGCAGGAGCGGTGTTCGTTTAAAACCCGAACGTTGGAACCAAGCCGGTGGTGCATCCACGTTTGGTGGGAACCGTTGGGAACCCAAGTGACTCGAATCGGGAGACATGGGCCGATGGGGTCCCGTCTGACACATTCAGCTCATCACTTTCGCCAAGTGGGTCACATCCGAATGAAATAGTGGTCAACAGAATGGTCAACAGAACAAACCAGTGGATGAAATGGCTGGGTTCATCCTAATCGACGTGGAAATCGGTCACAACCTAATCGGTTCAGCCATGTTCAGCCTTTTGTTGACTATCATCCACTCTCACTGTATGATAAAAGCTATTCTACCTGTGGGTAATGACTTATGAAGCAATTCTGTACCACCAGATATCGTCCAGTCCCCTTCGGTGAACGTTCAAGTGGTCCGCCGGCCCGCGGCCCTGTCCTGCGCGAGTGGTCCGCCGGCCCACAGGCTGCCTTACTGGCCTTTGCCTGCTGGCTACTGCCCTACAGCTACTACCCCAGCGTTCGCAGCTTGCAGGTCGCGTCGCGGGTGGTTTGGGGTGGCGGCGGACGTCGCGGGACCTCGCGTCGCGGTCGGGACTGGTCCATCGGTGGAGACCACCGAGATGGACGGTGGGTTTGGGGGAGACTCTGAAGAAGGTACCGGCAGGTTCCTTGAGGTGAGAGTTGTGACCAAAAGCCAATTCGGGAATATGCCCGCAAGTTTTGCCCAGTCTTGGGAAGAACACCAACCAATTTTACTGGAAAAGCAAATGCCTTTCTCGTGTGTTGACCGTTCCTTACTTTTGCATTCACCTTGTTCATGTTTGAAGGTTTCCTGCCAAATGCCCTGCACCCCCACTCAGAGCCCACAGCGGTTTTTTCCATGAGCCAGACATGTTTGGACCAACGCGTCGATGTTCAAGCCAAGAAACGATCCCACAGGTCGCTTCACAAGTGAAAGGTTTCTTTCAACAGAGTCATAGAGCCTAGGTCGGCTTTGAGCTTGAGCTCTATCTAGCATGCTCCAGGTGATCTAGCTTGGTGCCGTTCAGTGTCCTCCCTCTCTGCCGAACCTGCACCGCTCCGTGAGGCGACCGAGAGCTTCACCGCGCGGCTGCTGGCGCCCGGCTTGGTGGGGAAGCCGAGATGGGGACCTTCACCCAGCCGTTCACCGAGCCGAGAAGGAACGGAACGAGCTCAACCTCCCCCGTTTCGGCATTAGTGGGCGGGGTGTGATATGTCATCCGCGGACCTGAGGCGAGAATTCTGCAGTTGTCTTGAGTTCGTTTTCCATATGGCTTGGGCCAAAAAAAGCGATGCCCTTCAAGAACAGAGTACGCTGAGTGCACTGTGCGCCACTATTTGTCGAATGATGTCGAATAGAAAGAAAATCCCATTTGCATGCGTGGGTTTTATTTCTCAAAAAGTGGAGGGAGACGGTCATACCTTCAGAGCCAAGTATCGTGAAAATGCACAGTGTTTGTTGAAGTTGATGTCTGGTATAGATGTTGGATCATGTCCAAAGAAGGTTTAAATCAAACTTGCTCAATAGATCATAGATCCACAAGATGTACAAAATCTGGATGTCCAATCCTCCAAGCGGGGTGTTCAGGATGAGAGGCTGTTGGGGGTGAGGCACCCAGCTATAGATCATAGATCCACAAGATGTACAAAATCTGGATGTCCAATCCTCCAAGCGGGGTGTTCAGGATGAGAGGCTGTTGGGGGTGAGGCACCCAGCTATTGTGTGCGTTCCGCCTTGCTACTAGTAGCTTCTTGTTACGTTCGTAGTGATGGCCTCCAACCTGCTTGCTAATGGCCTCCACCGAGCAGATCGCGGTCCGAGCCGCTACTAGACTTCGACCGAAAAGTCACTCGAGGATTGTCCCAGGCCCGACATCTCCCCTTCACCGCCTTCGAAGTGTTTTTTCCGCTTCGGACGCACAACCCCTTGCACCAGGCATTTGCCGCTGGAACCTCCACACTGCTTTTGCCTGGGCTCGGAGGCCAAGAGAGGTGCAGCAGACGTGAGCTGATGGCTTGGACGTGAGTGAACCCCAAACAGCACTGGCAGCTTGATGTGTCTTTTGGCAAATCTGGATCCAAAAAATACATTTGCATTTGAATCCGAAGAGGAGGTCTTCAGGGGTGCTGTGAACCAAAGATCATCCTATTGCGATGTCGTCTGTCCAAGGAAAGGCAGACAAACCAAAATCGTCTCAGCCCAGCATCGAAGAAGAGTCATGGGAGGCAAATGGATACAAAAGGAGACAAAAGGCCTCAAATCATCTTGGCTCATGGTCGTTTGTATGCAAGAATTGAGAACCCCACACAGCAAAGCTGCTTGGGGCTTTTCGCAGCATGCCTAAGTGCGTGGAATGGAGGAGGTTGCAAGTGTTGCTGTACCTTCGGACTTTAGACATATAGTGGTCCCCAAACAGATAGAAATGGTTTCCAATACATTTTTCGTGGGGATCTACGTGTCTATCTATTTACATGTTTTGAGCTTCAGAGTCACATGTATAAACCAATGGCTGCAACACTCCGAGGGCCTCATCTACCCTCCTGGGCCCCTGGATCTACTCTAGTCGAGTGATTGATACCAATCCCTCAGATAAAGCCAGCGGAGAAGGGCGGGTAGTCTGCGAGGTGAAGAAAGTGATTGAGGTTGCCATTGTCGCCTTTCCTGGTACCCGTTCTTGTTATGAACTTCGACAAAGTCGGTGCTGATGACGTCACTTCCGCCATGAAGGAGTTCCTGGACATGAAGCCCCGAAACCACTGGTTGGTAGCACGTGTTTTACATCAGTTCATCATCCTCCTGTACGTTTTCTCTACAGAATGGGACGTGTTGACCACTGGAATAAGGCAATAGTTTATAGTAAACTGGTCCTACATTTTGGGGGTTCGGTTTGGCTTTTTGTAGAGGGGAAAATCTGAGTGCGCCCATGAAATGCTGATTTGCAGACTTGTGATTTGGCTTTTTGTAGAGGGGAAAATCTGAGTGCGCCCATGAAATGCTGATTTGCAGACTTGTGATTCTGTAGACAACTGTGAACAGTCCTATTTAATGTGGTTTTGCACACGCGGGAATGCATTTTGTAGAGAAACTTGTGCAGGGGGGATCTGGCAGGGGGATGCAGGGGAAGATGCCACCACCAAGTCGCATGCACGAGCTCTTCAAGAATGAGACACTCCACAAAATGGGTCGTGAATGGTTTTTTGTCAGTTTGAAATCTAGCTGACTTGCAAACACTTGCATCTTTGCAGAATGTATCATCCACGCTGGTCATTTTCTTGGTCAGATCTCTATCCATCCCCCTTTGCAACCTACCCATTTTGTGGAGTGTGTCCCTGGCCCCAAGTGCTGGGTTTTTCTAGACACTTGGATTATACATCCTTGTGATTCTGTAGGGACCTGGAGGTCAGCTATTCGAGTTTAAACTATCGCCTGGAAAAGTTCAAAGCACTGTGGATATCAAGGCGTCTTTTTGTTGTGTGCAGTGGAAAGTGGTCCCATGTGATCCCTATCTCATGCGGAGTGGCACGCATACTAGTAGTACAGGTTCGGGTGTGAACGTGATCCCGCAGGATTGAATTCGTGGTCATGCATCCCTTCATTTGCAGCTTCGCTGGGAGGACTTCTTTGTTTGATACAATTTGGGTAGCAACAGAGATCAAACAGGAGAGGCAAAATATCAAGATGTAGCGTTGGGAAAACTCCGCCCCGCCCTTGCCGCATGGACATCCGCATGATTTGAACCGGTTTTGATCCATGCGGCGGATGCCGCCGCACCCCAGGCGCCAGCGCTTCAATCCGAGCACATGGACCTGTGGCGCCATCTACTTCGCAGCACCGTGGCGGAAGCGGAGCAACCGGTCGAAGCGGAGCAACCGGTGGCCAGGTCGAAAGACTGGTCTTAGACGGTGGCACTGGTAGGTTGGGGAGAAGGGTCACAAGTTGTGAGCGAACTCTTACAAATGAATAGCTGTGCACATGCAGGAGGCAGCTGAAAGCACACCAGGGATGGATGCTCATCAACTAAAATTCGAGTGCAGGAAATTGAACATACTGCGCATGCATGTGTCTATGTACATCCGTGCCGGCTTGTGTGTTTGCCTTTGCGCACGGTCGTGCGCACGGTCCATTCTCCCTAGTCCGCCGCACGGAATGGCCGAATCCCTATCCTACGGCCTGGCACAGCGGAGTCCAAAGAACTGAGAAAAAGGCTCTTTTCGGCATCCACTGGGGATTGGGACCCGGGGTCTAGCAGCTAGAAGTGTTTGGGAAGGATGGAAGACGTTCTTGACCGTGTGTCACGCGAAACGCTTCGGAATCGGGGGTCAGTCCGATTCCTTTTGCGTTTGCAATCTGAATGTCCCACTGCACCACAAGTGGCGCCTCAGGTTTGTTTCACTGCCATCTTGGTGGGGCTCGAGCTGGACGGGTCCTTAGTTCAGCCATTGTTTTCCAAACGGGGTGAAGTCGAAGTCCAACAGATCCTAAAGGGCTGGAAGAATGAAGATGAGACCAGATGAGGTTTGAAAACCAGGCGTTCGTATGGCGGATGTAGGGATGGAACTTCCATACTCCCACAGTTTTGGGCTTGACTGCAGTCGAACAAAGCCTGAACCGGACACGGGGACGTGTGCTTGGAAAGTGGGACACATGCTGGGGCGGTACTGCGGGTTCCCGCAGGTGACGGTACGGTTCCACTTCCGCCTATTTCTCTGGGTGGTGGCTATGTGATCAGATTGAAAGTCACCAAGGTTTGGTTGAATGGGAAATTGCTGGTGCACTTTGGGATTGGTGTTTTGACGTGGACTCAGTGGTCTTTTCCACTCAGGCAAACACAGTATTGATTGCATGTAGGTAAGTCTGATACGCACGTCCCAATCCAGCAGCACATCAGCCAAACACTAAGATTGTCATGTTGCCAGAATGTTGCATGTTGATCATGTTCTGTTCATATACTACTTGGCATTTTGAGGGCGGGGGCCTTTGCAGATGTCTATTCCGAGTGCATGTACACATGGCATGTTCCTTTTGCAAGGTTCCATTCTCCCTGCTTCAGATGACACGAAGAACGGCCAAAAGTTTCTGGTTTCAGATACGTTTATGTTCGACCTAATTTACTTGCCCTAGCGATCCTGTCGTACCGAACCTGAGGTACGACTGGACCCGACTGGCTGGCACCGGCAAATAGTGTCGAACACATCGCCATACCTGAGGTTCGGTCCGACTGGATCCCTATCGGGTTTGGATGATTCTTCACCATTTCTGTCGTTCACAACGGCAACGTGGGTCCCAGGCGCGTCGGCCAGTGGTCACTGACGCCTGGCCCAGTGGCCTGGAGATAGGCCTGGTGTGACGAATCCCGTGGTGTCCAGGTCGAGACGTAGCGGAGTATGACTCTCAGGTGGGGTAAAAGGCCAAAGGGAAGTTCCGGGTCAAACAACATCGTTGGCTGGTGCCGCTCGCCCTGCTCTCCAGACAAGCCACCAGGTTGGACTCGCCAACTGCAGGAGCTGGGTCATGTTCTTGCGCAGTGAAGCCAAGCGTCGAGTGGCCCAACCTTTGGACCACCTGGAGGCGAAGCGCCACAGGACCAGTGACCAAAAGAGTGCCCACTGCCTTGGAGATCTCAAGTTGGGACCTGGCTCCTTGGTTACCTTGCTTCTGCTATGGCTGCTGTGGTGCAACCCAGTGTTGAGTCCGCCCTCCAGGAACGCAAGAGTTTGCCTGCCAGCTTGGAAGCCGCACAGCAATCCCCCTGATGGCGACCAGGTGTGGCCTGTGGTGCTGCTCTTCCGGAACTTGGAAATGGCTGACCGATGCCAGGACGTTTTGCTGTGTTCAACCTTCTCTCCTTGCCTTGGGAATTCGACGCATCCGAATTCGACCGGCGCATTTGCCCTCCGGTCCCCGTGGACTTCGTCCAAACTCATGGGTTTGGACGAGCGAGCAGTGGCACAGCAGGCCTTTCTGGCCGCGACGCAGCTGAAGGACTCGTGTAGGTCTCGTTGTGTCCTAGTGCTGTGAACGGGCCTTCCTTCACCTTCCTTCCCGGAGGGCCCGTCCCCTGCGGAGATCAGAAACCGGGGGCTGTCCCGTTGTAGGTGCCTGTGCCTTTGTGTCCCTTTTTTGCAGTCCTGCTTTTCCAGTTTCTTAGGCTGTGCTTCGGCTCTCTTTGGTGTGCTCGCTGCTCATCCTCATGACCTTCACGGTCATTTTAGTACGAATCATTATCTCACACTATCATACTGATACTATCTCCTTTTTTATGCGTTGTTTCTCGCTACTCTACTTCCTTCCCTCTCTCGATGTGTTTTCTGTCTCGCTTCTTTCCCCCCAACTTCTGCTTTCACCGCTCTGCTGAACTTCTGCGTATGGGTTTTAGGGTTCTTCTTCTGGGTGGGGCTCCGTTTTGGCTGCGGGTGCTCCTCCCACTAGGTTACCGTAAACCCACGACCTGGAGAGTGCTGGTTATGCGTTTGAGGTTGTTGCTGTTGTTACGTTCCCCCTAGTCTGTGCTTATTTCGCTCGTTGTTTCGTTATCGGGCTTACCTGCCCTCGGTTGTTTTATGCGGTTTTTCTTCGGTCGGCAGTTTACGCGCATGTTCTCTAGGTGTTTTTGCATTCAGGAGTTTGTACCGCTATACCTTTCAGGGTGATGAGCGACTACCACGATGACCAAAGGATTCAATCCAAGAAGTGGAAAGAAGTCAAATGATGGTTGGTAAGACGTCCCAAACAGTCAGTAGTACAACTCCTTCCAAACCCCATGCAAGGGGGGCGGTTTGTCGAAATGCTGGGCATGTGGACTGTGGACGCTCCGGAACCAGCGGAAAAAGCGTATGACCCCAGCTGTGCCCCAAGCATGCAGGGACGCACCAAAAGAAGAAAAACATAGAAAAACAAACAAGAGGGAGGGAGGGAGGCAGGGAGGGAGGCAGGCAGGCCGGCCGGGAGGGAGGGAGAGTTCTAGCAGGCACTGTCCCTCGCTCATTTTTGGGGTTCCCATCTTTGTTTTTTCTTGAAGATGTTGGACATACAGGGCACCTTAATGAGTCTCATTTCAAGTGGATGATGCGGAAAAGTCAGAGTCGGCTGGGAAAATTCTCGGGGCTCTCTAGATGAGTTGGGCAGCAAACCTTTTTTATCCAAAAGGATATAAGTGTGCAATTCTCCCATCAAACCAACCACGACTCGGAATCCAACACATTCTGAAGGCGAGTAAGTTTTCTCGACTGTCCTGAACCTTGTTCGAGCTGTTCCATGAACCACCTCTGTTAGCTGGTTTTCGTTTCTCAATACACTTCAGTTGTTTTCAGCGAGTCAATGCAACCACCTCTGTTGTGCACAACTGAGGGTACGGTCGAGCATTGCACTTGGCATCTGTCTTCGTGCAGTCGGACCATGAGACTACTTGGAAGATACCTGCGGCCAGAGCCAACAACTGGTCAAGTTATAACGGGTCTTGAGTCTTCATGGCAGTTTTTGCAACCTGTACGTGGTGTCTTCCCTTTTCTTTCGACACGGCTCCGTTCGACCCGACGTCCACGTCGTCGTTCCGATTGGCTGGGGCGAACTCGCCGCGAACGGAGCCGTTCCGGCAGGCGCCGTGACCATCTTCGTCGTCGAGGTGCGGAAGGGTAGGGAGCCGTTCGTGCCGTGCGGAAGGGTAGTTCGGTGTGTGTGTGTGTGTGTGTGTTTGCGTGTGGGGAGCCGGTGCTCCACGTAAAGCATGGTATTTGTGTGTGTGTGTTTTTTGTTTTATGTGTGTTCTCATGTCCTGTTTGGCAGTTTACGGTGAATCCAATAATGGTTCAATGGCACTTGGTGTGTCTCCCAAAGTTTCACTATACCGAACTGCCATCATGAACGCCTGCAACACGTGAACTTCACCTCCAATTACGTCAGACACTCGAACTTCCCTCCGCTACTGGTAAGTAACAGGTGTACTGGGACCACTGGAAGTATCAGGATGCACTGAACGTGTTGCACCTTTCTTTCATTCCAAGTCTGGCAGCCCTCCCACAGTAAAGAACCCATTGGCATGCAGGCTTGTGTGAGGGGAAAAATCACCGAAGACCATGGGACTTGGGTCGTTTCTGCTTTGTATGGTTTGAGGCCGTCGTCGTCATCATCATCATCATTTGCATCGGTTTCACAACATGTGTCCTTCGTTTCACAACATTGTCATCGAATGCTTCTGCCGGGGTCCTTACGCGAACACGTTCGCGTTTCTGCCTGGTCGAACAATGTGTACGCTAACAATGTGTACGCTGACTTAATGTCGGTCTGGCAAACTATACTAAAAATGGTCGTTCATTTTTGTCCCTTGCACTCCCCTGCAAAACATCACAGCAAGGCTTTTCCCTGCATGCAAAACGTGAACTGCAGGCCAGACATGTCACATTGACTTGCTGATCCCACACAATTGTGCGAGAAGTCCTCCTTCGTGCAAAGAATTCCACCTTCTTTGACAGATCTTCTCTTGTGTCTCTGTGTCTTGAATGCTGTGATTTCGACGCATTACTTTGGCATGACTTAATGAGTACATGACTTTGACATTGAGCCTCTGTCACAGCACGCGAGACCTCAGAAAAACACAGGAGCCTGAGAACTGCTAAACTGTCCACTGACTGTGTTTGAACTCGACCCCCTTGGGGTAAATCACGCATTTTAATCCGACACGGAGAGCATCGGCAACACAACAAAAAAACTGAGTTCAATGAATGCTACTAATTGGCACCACAGGTGGCTAACCAATGCCGCGCAACAAGGAGCTAAGTAACACAATACCTCCAACAGCGGGCTAAACAAAGGCCTCACCTGCCATGGGTGTTTGGATTTAATTCCCCTTTGCCTGGCACATGTTTTGACTGGGAGTGAGATGAGTAACACCACATCTCTCTTGCTCACACTGTTTCCCAGGCCCCCAGCGCAGGATATACAGGGAGACAGCGCCTTTACCATCTTTCTTGCCGCCTCGCTGTATCGACTCTCAAGCACCATTTAAATGAACAATGCGTCAGGTTCAACGGCCTTTGTGCCACCGTCCTCTCCTTTTAAAGTGTGTGGCTGCGATCTAGACCAAATCTCATCAAAGGCGGCCATAACAAATCGAAAAAGGAAATCCGCCTTCTCCCACTTTCGTTTGGTCACTAGATCTTTGGTCATGGGGTCAGGCAGTAGTTTATTGAGCATCAGGGGGGAATCAAGAGCTAAACCTGCACCTTTGGGATTCCACCCACGCCTGTCTCTTCTGCAGCGTTTGACTAGAGCTCATGCTGGTAACACTGGCCACCTTCCGGGTAACACCACAGAATTCTTCAATGACACTCCTTGAAATGAATTGGCGACAGCGGGGCCGGCAGTTAAGCTTAAAGCACCAGCAGTTCAAAAACCTCGCAGCCTACTGAAAACCAATCCAAACCTCGCAACTTACCGAAAAGGCCGTCGGTAAATTGGGTCCCTTTGGGGTCCTTTTTGGTCTACTTGGAGTGCCTTTGGGATTCACTGTCCTGGTCAAGCCACTTTACCCAACCCTTAAAACAATAGTAACCATGGGTATAACACCACATGCATGTCCACGATGCCTATGAAGTCGTGAGGTTTAAAGATTCTTCAAAAATGTTTCCCTCCACGAGCAGGCAGCAACATATCCCAAGTTATCTTATGCAACGAAATATCCATGATGGCAAGTGGTTGTTGAAGTTTCTAATTATCTCTGTGTTGGGGAGCTCAGAGGTTGAGCTAGTTCTTTCTGCTTGCACTCCCTTCACGTCACTGTTTGGGCTCCAGTCTGGTCCACTTAGGAAAATTCACTCTTTACACTCTTTAGCTCCTGATTACCATCGGCAAGAATAGATACCAGATTAGTCATGATTAGTCGTTTTCTCGGCGCGTGGCGTGTGGTTGGAAAAGGAATGAGGCACATCCAGCCCCTCGACCGCTTTGGAGCATCAGGCAGAGGATCAGAAGGGGGCCAAGAAAGAACCGAAGCTTCGCGACCCGCCTGAGACGCGTGATGTGGAGGGCATGGAGAAGAAACGGAAGCCATCTATGCCGAAAGGCAAGTCATCGCCTGCCGGCTGCAGTTTGGCAAAAAGGCGGGAAGCGAAGAAGAAATCGAAAGAGCAAGCGCTGGCGCGGGCGCAGCAGGAGTTGGAAGACTGCACAGGCGCCTGGCGCGACTGCTACAGAAGAAGCCCATCCTTCTCTTGTTTGGGCGCGCGTGTGCTTTCGCAAAGCTTTTTTTCCGGGAAGGATGGGGCGCCTCCTTTACCCGCAGGATGGAGGCTGTACTACGGCCTCCCTTCGCGAGGTCTGTGTGTGTACAGCGTGGGCTTACAGGTAGCCTGTTGGCTTCTCGACTTCAGCAGCGGAGTCCTGCGCCAATGAAGACGCTCATCAAGGTTCGTGGAAACGTACCTGCTTAATTGTTGGTGGCTTGTTCAAAGTGCAATCAGTCCGGGGTGACTAGCACTCACCGCACAAGTGTTCAATACGCAACCTTGCGCATTGATCCACCAGAATCTTGAGTATAAAACTCAAGACTCTTCAGTCAAGTTCAGAAATCCGAATTTATATTCAAATGTTCAAAAAGAAACTGAACTTAACTGTTCCAGACATTTTTGTATGGTTGATCTTAGTTTAATTGTTACGAAAGCCAGCCTTCGTAGAAGGCGCTAGCGGAGTTGTGTCTGGCGAACGAAGTGAGTAGTTAGGGGGTTTGAGGGGGTGGCCCGGGAAAGGTACACGTAAACTCGGCACATGCTGGGGGAGGAGGGTGCTTCGAGGGAAGGTTTTTTGAGGTTGTGTTGGAGGGGATTTTTGAGGGGTGGTGATGCAAGAAATGCCAAATGCATCATTTGCATCATCTGAATGGAAAGGTGTAGTTGGCAGATTGCAAGGTATAGAGACCCAGGGTAGCTATAGTGCAGCTACCAGGTATAGTACTTCAAGTTCCCTTTCCGTCAACCGCTCGAGAACCTCTACACACGCACAGCAATCCACAGCTTTGAAGTCTCATTCGTGCTTTGAACTTGTATAGGCGTGTAAGAGGTATAGCAACATAGTATTTATACGGACCCAGGGTAGCTACAATTCTGTTCCCAGGTATGGCGCGCATGAGGCTTCAAAGTGTGGTTTTCAAGCTACATTCAAGGTGGCCTGAGACCAGGGTTTGCTGCCCTAAAACACTCTGTTCAGGCCACCTGGAAAATAAAGGTGTAGTTGGCACCTTGCCAGGTATAGAGACCCAGGGTAGCTATAGTGCAGCTACCAGGAATAGTACTTCAAGTTCCCTTTCCGTCAACCGCTCGATAACCTCTACACACGCACAGCAATCCACAGGTGTGTAAGAGGTATAGCACAAAAGCATGCTAATGACGTAAAGAGTCGAACATGTCGGAAGAACGAGGTACTGGAGGTCCTCGCATGGCTAGGATCTCTGACGTCATCAGAAGTCGCTAGACTGACCAAGCACAGGTAAAAAGAGACGTTAAAGTCCTTTGTTGTACATGACTCTCCAGCACGATGTAAATTCATGTCTTCGTCGCCTGTGGTTGGCGAAGTCAGCATAATCGGCGTTGACAGAGGAAACGAGATAGCCTGTCACAGAGAAGGACAGACGGCCTTCAACTGGTCCCAAGAGTTTGTCGTAGGCGTTGTGAGAAACATGACGGAAAGGGTGTCTAGGCTAGTCGGTGGCCAAGCGACGTAAAGCTTTAAAAGAGAAGTAGTTGTGCAGAGGTTACGCGGTGGTGTGGGCCTACTTGGCTGGACGCATGCGGCATGGTGATCGCATGGCAAGGGGTTTGTGGGGCTCGAAACGCTACTGTTTCGAGCCCCACAAATCGGGGAACTTGATTGATCTGTTCTAAAACGCCGATCATTGGATAATCTCTACTGGTTCTGTACCCGTCGGCCCTCCTTCTCCAGAGTTGTAAAATTCATAGCACACGAAGTGTACTTTGGGTGGACGCATGCGGCCTGGTGCTCGCATGGCAAGGGGTTTGTGGGGCTCGAAGGGGCTTCGAGCCCCACAAATTGAGGAACTTGGTTGTAGCGGTTTTTGTCCATGGCAATGGCGATACTAGGCCTTGCAGCAATGCCTCTTCTCTGCTTGCTTCGACGCGCAGTTGTCGAAAAGGGGAAGCGCTGGCTTTCGCTCCAAGTTCAAAATGCTATTGTTGCATGAACTTACACATTTTGATCCTTTTTCCACCACCACAGCACTAACCAAAAATACAACCCCCACAAGTTTCTTACATGCTTGTATCAACCACAAGGCCACAGCCATAGCAGACTACCAGGACATGGTGAGCGGTGGCCAATGAGGCCATGAGAATGGATCATGAAGATGAACTGGCCAGGAATTTGCCCGGAAGTATGAAGAGATATGTAGTGGCAGGCCGAGGACAACCAAGAGGACCAGCGCAAGAAAGACCAGCAAGAGTGCTGGCTCTCTTGGGAAGCATGGCATGCATCCTGCATCCACTCCACTGTGCTGGCGGCACATCCAAGCCTGCCAGCCCATCCAAGGCTACCATCCCAACACCAAGACCATCCATGAGCAACCCACATCACCAAGCCCATCAAAGGACAGCTTGCCACTCGATTCAGGTCCAAAATCGTGTTGCTGGTGGCCTGAAGATTTTTCCACTTCGACATTGATCAGCACACCGTTGGTTCCTCCTCAGGTGTTGAAAGCAGTTCACTCAAACAAAATGTCAGTGTCACTGCGTTGCCACACCAGAAACACCAGCAAATGTTCATTGTTTTCACTCATTTATCCCTCAAGTTTTTGGCGAGCGTGCGTGTGTGTGTCAAGGTGGGGGGCTCGACGGATCAAGACTAAGCGCCGTTGCGACGAACGGCTTGATCGCTTGACTTTGGCAGGAAGTGGCGCTCCACCTGGGCGCAGAGGGGTGGAGATATCTCTACTGGCGGAGGACGGCCGCCCATGGAGCTGATGGGAAGGAACGAAATCCGGCCAAGACAACAGTGGTAAAACGGGTCAACCAAGAAGAAAACAACCAAACAAACATGAACCAAGGCTAAAGGTTTTCGTGTGTTTGAGGAAGATTTACTTTGTGCGCCGCTGAGGCAGTTATCGGTGGGGTATAACATGATATGGCTTAAACCCACGGTGAAGTGATTGTTCTCACCGACTGTGCCAGGATCTTCCTGGCCGCCGGGCTGCTGCTTTTGCCACTTGGGAGCAAGCGCGGTGCTAGCGATGCCTGAATCATCCTGGAAACCCCAAACGCTGAGGCTGCGAGGCACAGATTTGGGAAGCGGATTGAGGGATTGTTTCGGTGGTTGTTTTTGCATCACGGTGCTCTTCAAGAGGAGTTCCAGGCACGAGAATCCAAACAGTGCGTCTAAAGGTGCAAGGTGTAGAGGTGTAGAAGCAGAAGTGGTGATGGTGACTAGTGATGGTGGCGGTGGCGGTGGCGGTGGCGGTATCGGTGGTGGTGGTGGTGGTGGTGGTGGTGGTGAAGGTGGTGAAGGTGGTGAAGGTGGTGAAGGTGGTGAAGGTGGTGAAGGTGGTGAAGGTGGTGAAGGTGATGCAGGTGGTGAAGGTCGTGGTGGTGGTAGTGGTGGTGGTGAAGGTGGTGAAGGTGGTGAAGGTGGTGGTGGTGGTGGTGGTGGTGGTGGTGGTGGTGGTGGTGGTGGTGGTGGTGGTGAAGGTGGTGGTGGTGAAGGTGGTGGTGGTGAAGGTGGTGAAGGGTGCATGGTGGATGGTGAGTGGGTGCTGCTGGTGGTGGTCCCTACGCACCCAGGAGCCCATGCCCTACGTTTCAACGTGGGCAAAGCCCTTGGGTCAAATCCTGTGAGATGTTGCCGCCCGAGAGACCTTGAAACCCATAGAGCCATAGAGATCTTTCACTTGCTTTTGATGTCCAAGGTACCATTCGTACAACTGCCCATTATGTGCAAACCCAATTGCGAGCTCTTGTGAGTTTTTGCAACAAGGATTTTCTACATGAAGGGCAAACATCTTTATAGGGTGCTTAATGACCTGGATTGGATACCAATTCAGTTTGGGGTCCATACATATCAATACCACCGAATTTTCAAAAATGGTGAACACCTGGGCAGGTCGTTCACTACCAGAGGATGTCAAAAACCAGAGTATATATACTGCCATAACGACCTTCGCGCCGCGAGGTCCTGGAACCTTCGCGGTGCAACTCTGGCGTCTCGGTGGAGGTCCTGGCGCGTCGATCCGCGAATCTGCGACCGGCGGAGTGTTGTATCGGTTGCTTAGATGACAAGGCCGAGTCGTAACTACGGGCGATTGATTCCTCAGTTTCTGGAACGGGTCTTGTTGGGGAGGAAAAATCTATTTGGCAATATGGTTGCCGAGTCAGTGCTTGCGGACCACGTCCTAGGTCATACAAGTCTAACTGATGTCCTCCGACACCACCTTTTTGGTGGAGAGTTTCCCCACCAAACTTGAAGAGGTCATTTTGTAGGGCAGTGGGTTTAGTGGGCATGTTCTGTGGTCGGGAGCCCAAGCCTAAGTGCAGTGTTTTGTTTGGGGATGACAACGTTGCGTTGGAATTTGCAAACAGTTAAGTGTGTTGTCATCTCATGTCATCTCACGCAAAGAACCTCAGGGTATTTTTGTTAATGTATTTGGACCAATTTGGGCATTTAGATATTGATATGAAATTGTTGGTTTACAAGAGTGATCGTGATTCACTTTGCTGAGTTGTTGTGGCTGTTCCTATCAAATATATGTTGACAAAAATCAAGTTGTTTGTTTTTCAGCAAATTGTGGGATCAGAGGTCTTCGTCTACCCCCAGCATGGGGTTTGTGTGAACCTGATAGTTGGGTCCGTTTCGGAACAGGTTTTTTTGTAGATTGCAGGCAGGGTGTCGATTTTCAGACAACTTCTTCATTGTGGTACTTTATGGAGCGGAGGTCAAAACGATTGCCACCAACTGCACATTCCATGAACAGGCGGTTTGAACCGTGTGCGTCCATCAAGAATGGTTTTGGGATGTTTTGGGCATTCGACCAATCAGAATACATGTCGGGCACAAGGACATGTTTCACTGGATCTCGTCTCCCTACTGAAGTCAGATCAAATACCACACAGTTCCCCTGATTTGCTGCTGATGTGTCGCAATGTCCAGTCCCTAGGGATCCAAGTACCTTCTCAGAAGGTGATTGGATGCTATTTATGTAGGTTTGGAGGGTCCAAGTACCTTCTGAGAAGGTACTTGGATCCCTAGGGAGTTTCAAGTGTGGGGTGCCTTAGTCCAAACCACCCGACCTCGCGGCCAAGGACATGGTGGACCATTCCCCGGAGCACTTGGGCGGTGTCCGTGGGCGGGGGTGGTTGGTCCGGTTTCCGTGCGCCCAAGATCTCCCGAGAGACGCCGTTTGGTTCGAAGACGCCGGGGTTTCCTGGGAGAGCGGGCCCGATGACGCAAGCAGGTGAGTGCGTTGGTCACACCGAGGTGGCTCGCGGTTTGAAAATGACCCAAAAAGAAAAACGTGCACCAAGGGAGAAGTCCTGACTAACATCTCATGGCGGTCACTGACTAACACCTGGGTGTCGTGATGGTATCCTCCAGGGCCATCCCAGCCCTCTACCCCGGTCTCCGAGCCAAACACGGGGAGTCATAGCCAATCCCGACGACGTTGGCGATCTTGGGCCCGACTGGGTCTTCCAACGAACGGACCGCAGGGGGATGACGACCTCGGATGATGCAGGTTTGTTCTTTCGATCAGCTTTCGGAGTTCGGATCGCCAACATGAAAACCACTGGAAGAGACCCACATGGAACCTGAAAACCACGTCGGGTTGTAGAGGAAAATCGTCTTCCAGTCTGGTCCATGCAATCAGGTTCCATGATGTTCCATGTGGGTCTCTTCCCGGGAGATCGTCAGGGCAGTCGAATCCCACAGATCGCCAAACTGCTGCGACGGCCGACCCCCACGGCGATGGTCATGTGCCACGGCTGGAGCAAATGGCTCCCACTGTCTGTTCCCTCCGTCCGAGGCACGTCATGGGTGGTTTGCTCCTCGGCCTGGGCATGTCTGGGTGCCCAGTTTTCGGTAGAGCGTCGTTGGTCTCGGATCCTCAGAGTTGGGTCTTACATAAGAGGCGACCAAACATGTAAGACGTTAAGATAACAGTGAAACACTCTTATGAGAGTCTGGTGGCCAGTTGATCACAGTGAGGTTCTTCAAGCACTTGGTAGGAGAAAGAAGGTCACCAAGTTGGTCCAACAGCTGAGTGACTGAGGATCAACCTGGTCAACCAGTGAGGTCGTTCGTGGGATCAAAACATGTCAAAACATATTGGTCGGGTCTGTCCCAGTAAACCTGTAGAGCCGTCAATAAACAAGCAAATCACATTTTTTGAACAAGGCCTGCAACCCTTATCCACTATTTCGTCCACCTGAGTCGGCATGTCGATGATCCCAGCAACGCTGGTCCGCAAGAGTCCGCTGGTCTGGTCTTAAGGCTAAAATCAAAACATGTTGCAACATCACCCCGAGCTGCTCAGCATGGATCAAGACCTGATCGGGTTGGATTTGGCTGCAGTTGCAGCACAGATGCGCTCCTAGCTAGATTGGTCCTTTTTCGTTGCGAAACATGAGGCCGACGTTCAGTCACCGGGTGACACCGCCGGAACTTTGGCCCGAAGACTCCCTCATTTGGATGATGCAAGCATGGATGTAATCTCCTGAGTCTTTGATTAGAAGTCTCTGATCAGACACGTTGCTTCCATGCTGCTGGTGATTTTCAGGTTCCTGCTCAGAGAATCCTGGCCCTTAACCCGCCGCAGCCGCAACCAAGACCTGCCATTTGCCGGCTGGCCTCCTCGCAAAACGAGGCGTAAATGTGCGGGACGCCCACCTGGGGAGGTGTAAGTTTGTTTATGTCAATGTTTGTTACGTACTTGAACAGTCGTTTTGGAGAAGCTTTCGGGGGAGCAGTCAAGCCAAAAGTGTCATTGTTCTTGGAAGATTATCATTTGAGATAGTTTGTGTACGTTTGTTTATGTAGACGATACTTTGGATTGAAGGTGGCGGGTGTGTATCGCTGTTAGCATTTTGGAAGCCTTGGTCCGAGGTTTACGGAGATGGAAAGGAACCCTGGTTGGTGAATTTGCCTGTGACATTTCGCCAAGTCATCACTATTCACTTATGCCTTCCAGAAGGTCTTGCGATGTTGTGTGAGAGCCACAGCTTCAATCAGCACTCAATAGCCCAGGCTTTCACACATTCAGCCAGGGTCCATGGAATGTTTCATGTACAGTGACAAGAGCGACGATGGAAGTCGCTATGACAGGCAATGTGGCATTTGTGGACTGAGATCGAAAGCTGGACTTTTCAGTTAAAGGTAAAACTCAAACCTCAACGAAAAGGCATCCGGAACCCGCAAATCCCTATCCTGCCGTGTCTGGAGGGGTATTTACAAGTAGAGGCAGAACCCTTGGGAGTGGTTCTTGGAACCTTGCAAACACAATCAAGACACAAAATTATCCTGCAATATTCCGCACACAAACATTTATTTTGCGGAAACAAAGGTTTTAAAAAGACTGCTCGCCTTGGGATTCAGATAACAAACAATGTTTAATTGGGCATCTCATGTCGACCCAAGATGTCGACAACCCCTGCAGGGTTTCTCAGAATGCGAACCCTGTAGGAGTGACGACCAAGATGGTTGGACATCAATCCTCCTTTCCACTAAGAGAATAACAACATTAAACACACAATCCCATGAATCTGCCGGAAAGGAATGATCGAAAGCGTGGAACCTTAGGACCTGGCGCTGAACTTCCGTTTCAAAACAAGTTCTGTTTGGTTTGCCCTGCAGAGCTTCCGGTTCATCATTCCCCCCCGGTGCCGCTGGACTCGTTTCTTCCGCCCTTCCCCGGTTCGGGGAGCCGGTGAACCCAACTGGGTGAAGCCAACGAAACGACCGAATTGAGCGGACGTGGGGTGAAGCTCCGCCTGTTGGAGCCATGCCCGCTTTCAGTTTCAGGCAGTGTCGTTCAATGCACATGTGCATGTGTATGAGATTGAGGGTAAAAAGAAACCATTTAAAAATACAATTGAGGATCAATTCATGTTGTTCAACCCCAAATAGCTCTATACTTCAACTGCTGGTATAATCATGATCTCAATTTGTTCACAAATCTCAATGACCTGTGGGTCAAAGGAAACACCCGTTCTACCTGCGGGCCAAATGAACATCTCCAGGCAGACTGGAGACTGTGCGTGTTTAGCCAATAAGCAGATGCTGGAGCCCAAACAATGCAGAGAAACTGCAGTTTCAGGGTGTAGGTCCAGTGTAGGTGGTTGTTTTTCCTCAACGAGGTCAATCGCAGTTTCAAACATTTTACAAATTCCTGAGACCTGATTTTGGCGGCATGTTTACACAGTGGTGGCGATTTTCGCGCAGGTGGTCATGGAGCAGGCCTTGCAGGGTTTAGCCTTGACCACCTTTGCTTGTTCGGACACCCAGAGACGAGATGCGGGAGTTGGGACCAGGGAGAGATGATACGAGTTCGTTGGTACCTTCAAGGTTAGATGGCACACATGTCCAAGTTTGGTGCGTTGTATGGACGTCCTCATGCTACACACAGTTCCCTTCTTTTGGTTCACCCCCTATACCCGGTACCACGTGTATCAAGGGGTGCATTCGGGAGCGCTAAGATCTGTGTTGAACTTTCAAGGCGGGACAGCACTTTGTTGTTCATTGCAGACCTGGCAAAAACTCAAGTCGAGTCGAGTAAGGTTGTGTTGTTCTTGGCTATCCGATAGTGCTTTGATTCCCACCTGCCCAGAGGGATGAGAAAGGAGCACAGGAAGAGGAGAACAAAGCAGACCTGCAAGAAGAGCGAGCCAGAGCGAGCAAGCCAGCAGGATCCATGCAAGTCTATGGTGTCTCAAACTGAGGGAAGAAATCCCAAGACTGCATCAACCTTCCCTGCGTAGACACCTGTCATTGGGTCGAACATATTTCACGATCTATTCAGTAGACACCAGAAAGTCTATCCGGCAACCAGGCCTTCCTTGGTTGCTCTACTTGCTGATGCCAGAGCAAGATGGTCTTCGTACTCTCGTCCGGCAGCCTATGTATAGTTTGGTGGTCACGTCTCACAGGCAGGCTCCTGCACCATCTGACATGGATTGGAACCCCCAAAAAAGAACAGACCAACAGATGTAAACCTTCAAAGGATTTCAAAGGGGTGTTCAATGGAGATCCACAAGTGTAGGGGAGTCCAAGTGGTAGTGCATTGGAGACCCCAAAAGGATATGTTTTTGGGATGTAAACCGTGAGTTCAGGTGTGTTTTCCTTGACGTCGAAATCTGCATCGGTGCATCGGCCGTTGCATCGGTGCAGACTGAGCTCTGGGTGGCGTTGGTGCGCCGTTTGGGCCCGATACCAGGGGTGGGGTTGTTGGAAATAATTGGGGGGGGCAGGTTGTTAACTTCTCAATTGGGTTGTTACATGTTGTTGAGTGGTTGTTATGAAGAAGTTACATGGTTGTTACGGCGGTTGCGATTGGGATGTTATTTGGGGCAGGCAACTGCCCGCCGGTCACCCCTCCGTCGCCTGCGCGACGCGCATTGGTCCCGGCCGTCCGGGCTCGCACGAGCGCTGTCAGAAGCCTCCGACTCGCGCAAAGAAAGGAAGACCCTTAAATTCCCTGTTGGTTCCAAACAGTCTGCGAGTGCTCTGATAAAAAGTAAGACGAAATCAAAGGAAAAAAAAGTTACTTCACTTCGACTGATCCCTACCATGACATTTAGATGTGACTGACATTCTTGCAAGACAGCGGCATGCCGCCTGTCAGGTGTTTGGTCTGGTAAAGGCAAAGGAAGAAGAGGTGTACAGGACACACAACAGAAACATATTATTTGGCATATGTTGTGACGTTCTTTCTGGTATATAGGAACCCACGGATAGATGGCGCAAGTAAAAGTATAGGAAAATGCGAGGTTGTCACTCCGGGTCAAGGGGGACAGAGTGCTTGAACAATCTTGAACATATAGATGGCACACCGGCCATGCTACACAACATAATGATGGCACACCAGCACCGATACCTAAAGCGGATGTGCCAGCTATATGTGCTTGAACTTGTTTTTGTTGCCAAAGCTGATGGAGATGGAGACAAAGACGTTGTTTGTGACTGTGTGTGTGTTAGTGGTTGTGTGTTGTGTTTGTGGTTATGTGTTTGTGGTTATGTGTTTGTGGTTGTGCGTTGTGGTTGCGCGGTGTGGATGTGTCTTTGTGGTTGCGTGTTGCGGATATGATCTTGCGCTTGTGCGTTTGTGAAAGTGTCTTTGTAGTTGTGTTTGTGGTTTTGTGTGTGGTTGTGTGTTGTGGTTGTGCGCTGTGGTTCTGTGCTGTGGATGTGTCTTTGTGGTTGTGTGTGTTGCGGATATGTCCTAGCGGTTGTGTTTGTGAAAGTGTGTTTGTGGTTGAGTGTTGTGGTTGTGTGTTTGTGGCTATTTGTTTGTGGGTGTTTGTTTGTAGTTATTTGTTTGTGGTTATGCGTTGTGGTTGTGTGCTGTGGATGTGTCTTTGTGGTTGTGTGCCTTGTGGTTGTTTTATTGCGGACATGTCCTTGCGGTTGTGTGTTTGTGATTGTGTCTTTGTAGTTGTGTTTGTGGTTGTGTGTGTGTTTGTGCTTGTGTGTTGTGGTTGTGTGCTGTGGTTCTGTGTTGCGGCTGTGTGTTTTGGATGTGTCCTTGTGGTGGTGTGTTTGGGATTGTGTCTTTGTAGTTGTTGCGGTTATGTGTTTGTGGTTGTGTGTTGTGGTTGTGTGCTGCGATTGTGTGCTGTGGTTGTTTCTTTGTGGTTGTGTGTTGTGGTTGCGTGCTGTGGGTGTGTTTGTGGTTGCGTGTGTGTGGTTCTGTTTGTGATTGTGTGTTTTTGGTTGTGTTGTAGTTGTGTTTGTTGTTTTGTGTTTTGGTTGTGTTTGTGGTTATGTGTTTGTTGTTGTGTTGTGGTTGTGTGCTGTGGTTGTGCGTTGTGGTTGTGTCCTGTGGATGTTTCCTGTGGATGTGTCGGGAGCTGGCGGCTGAGGTCCGGCGGGGAACACTGCCGTCACGCGGGTGAGCAAAAGAACTTGAAGCAGTAGCTCTATGGAACCAATGTTGCCTGCAACTTCAACCCCACCCTCTTTACAGTGATTCACAACGCTGGCAGTACTTGGCATGGCCCAGCAAATCGGTTCCTGACACCTTCTGAGCTTGCTTTGCGCCAAGGATTGGAAGTTTAACGAGAAGACGAACCTCACGACCAGCTTCGCCAAGTGCAGCCACCGTTGGCGGACCGCCTTCGCTGGCCAAGTGGGAAACAGTCCGAGCTGGCACTTTGGGTCTGGCGGGAACCGCCAGCTGAGGTGCGGCGGGGAACATTGCCGTCAGGAGCTGGCGGTTGAGGTCAGGTGGGGAACACTGCCGTCCGGAGCTGGCGGTTGAGGTCCGGCGGGGACCACTGTCGTCGGGAGCTGGCGGTAGAGGAGGCGAGGAGGAGGGCGAGCAGGAGGCGGAAGAGGAGATGCGAGGCAACTGACATGAAATCTAACAACCCTCACCTGACAGGTGGGGAAAAGACAAGTTCTTTCTTATTTTTCTTATGCTTTAATGCTTTGATTACTGCAGATCAGATCATAGAAGTCGACCAGTTCCATGGCATGTGCAATGCCCAATCGTCATCCTGAGATGTCGTCTAAGGCCCTCCATGCTTGGGCCAATTGGACGGTGAACACGTTGGTGATGGCGATGTTGCTGGGCAGCAAAAACACTGCGGCGGGATGGCACGGGGCGTGGCACATCGTGGCAGACATGATGTGGTGCACGTCTCTGAGCGATGGAACATCGAATTGGTTCGCATTGTTTTGCCGTAGTCTCAAAAAGACCAAGTGACCTCCAAGTAATGAATCAGGAATACATGCCCCGCAAACGATCACCTGGAACCTGCGAAGGAAAACCCGTGGTGGTGGTTTCGACCATGCTTTCGACTACCCCAGTGGGTGGTCCGACCTGCAGGGGAGTCATCATAAGTCGGCGAGACTCCGGTGGCTTGGAGATGACAACCCAAGAGGAAACCTGAACCTGGAAGTGGAGGGTGGCTGCGGAGAAGACCCTCCAATGGCTGCGCAAACTTCCAGCAGCTGAGGGGCTCACAACACCTACCAACCGAGAGGGGCTCTTCGGAGACACCGTCGGTGGATGGAGATGGTTGAAGCTGCTCCTCGTGATGGTCACAGCGGCGCTGCGTTCCGGCGACCGTTAAAGCAGGCCAAGCCGGGTGCTGGAACACCACCAGGCGATGGAAGATTCTCGGCGAATTCGACGTGATTGGTTCCTTGAAGGCTGCTGTGGTGCGGCTTAAAGACGTGAGTATTCATCATCGTCGTGTTTGCTTTTCGCCAGGCTGAAGCAAGTCAAGATAATGACAGAGGACTCTTTCTATGAGTTTGAAGATCAGGCGCGACCTTGAAAGACATCTCCAAAAAAGGCGGAGGGGGCCGACAGCATTCAGGCTTACTTTGTGCCCGTGATGGAAGATCTACGTTACCACCCGAACCTCCACAGTGGCGCTGTCGGGAGAGGTCTACTTTGTTGACGTCTGTCACAAGGTCGGACGTCCCCAGAGCGACTCATCCTACGATGAAGTGACTCAGGTCAGGTCACACAGCGCAGCCGAACGCGCCATGTGATAACGCCGTCTGTGGATCGCTGCGGAGAGCGGTCCAGCGATTCGGAGGGGACCACGAATCGTGCATCGGGACCACTGGGTGTAGTATGGCAAAGCAATACAGGGGGGCCTCCCAACCACTCCCAACCAATCGTTTTTGGTCTATTTCCCTTCTTCCAGAGGGGCTTTTAGAGGTCCCCCTATTCTAGAGGTCACAATCACCGCGATTCCACACCACAGTGCACATGTTGCTCAAGAGTATCACCGGTGCGGAAAGAACCATCGTTTGATCCCCAAACCAAATGATTGGAAGTTTCAACCATCCACCCTTGGAGGACTTGTTGGTGGGTGAGGGATAAATCAACAATCTTCTTTTGCAATGAAAGAGTGATAACCCCCATAGCCACAGGCCAGTGTGGAGGGCAACTGCATGTTCACAGGTTTATCCCCATCCCATCGCCCACTGTCGCCGGATCCCTGGCTGTTGTGGGTGCACCGAAGTGTGACCAACTGCCATAGATTGGGATGGTGAACTACCTGCTTCATACGTTCTCCCTACTTGGTCGTCACCAAGCCCGACTCGATTCGGTCGTGGCTCGCTGAGCCGGCGAGCGCCACTCGTCGGGCCCTGGGGCTTTTGGTCATCCATCGCACCGCAAGGTGATGAAATTGTAGGCTTGCTTTGTTAAACAAACGTGAGTCCAAAACCCTTGTTTATGTACAGCTTGTGTCATACAGTTGTCCGGACACACCCAGTCAGTAGATTCCAACAGGTGTTCGACATGGCTCTTTGTGTCCATTTGCGTCGATTTGGGTCCCTTGGCGGTACTTTGTGTCCTCACTGTCCTCCATCGTACCGAACGACGCAACAAAAACACCCCCAGGTAATTCTCTCTTTCAGCCTCATGCTGCTAAAGGACTTGATCACATTGCAAATTCCAGAAAAAATATCGAGGGCTGGACCCCACAATCAATTTTGCCCTACCACTTGTTGCTAAGCAAACATGAAAATATATCATAATTAGACCACAACACCCACCCATTCTAGATGTTCCCTTCTTCCCCACCCTCACCTTGCTTGCTCAGTGCCTCCTCGTTGTGTGCACTGGTCTTCGTGGCGATGGTGCTCAGCGAGGCTTGCGCTTCGAAGCCGCTGCTGGGGCACCCGAGGAGCGGAAAAGGAGCGGAGCGAGGGGCACCCGGAGCTACAGACTGAAGGGGACCTGAACAAAACCAGATGAAAAGGTTCTGTTACTTGGGTGTTTTCCCTGTTTTCGTTGGTGAATGTGGAACCTGAACATGGACCTAACTTGAAATTGGATGGGGAGCCTCCACAGGCCAGTGGTTTTCAGGTTCCCTGTGGCTCATCTGACTCATGGCGGAATCCTTCGGTATTGTCTCTTTGAGTGCAGCCATCAAGCAGCGGTTTCTTTGGGTGGAGAGGCACCAAAAGTCTTGATTTAGTGAGATCGTCACCCACTGTACCCACTCCCAGTGAAGTCCTACATTGAAGCTGCCATGAGTGAAATGAGCCAAACCGAATCCTGTCTAGCCAGCACCCATGTTTCTGTCAGATCACCAGGTCCAAAAGGGCTTTGCAAATGGTCATGAGGAATGCGTCAAAGAACACACCAACATCTGATTGGAGGTCAGACGGTCAACCGATCACCATCCAAAGACTGGACTGAGAACCACGTTGGGGTGTTGGAAGAGTCACCGATCATGCAAGGAGGTACCAAAACTACTGTCATGTTTATATCCCATGTATTTGTAGCAATCAATGGCAATGTAAAATTGGAGAAGCTCAAGCAAAAGGACTCTTTTGCTATGTGTCCTTGCAACTCCCCAAACCACCTCAACATGTCCCTGGGTCGGAATAGAAAACAACATTTAAAGACAAGCATCCCAATCGAGACAGTTCTGAACATTTCCCATGCATTCCATGGATGCGTATTAAAAACAGGGACACCTCCCAGGCTTTCCGACCTTTTGGAAGTCTACCCCGATCGGGGCGATCGAGGGTCGTCTCCCTCTCAAAATACCCACCCACTGGCTTGATCCTATCGAATCCCCCTACGATTGCACCGATTCTCTTGCTTTCCCCCTCATCCCTTCTAGTTTGGGGACGCTTCGTGCCGCTTGTGCCGCACTGAGGGCCTCGCGTTCCGTTGCAGTGATGCTGAGCGTGGCGGTGGGGCTACGCTCTGGCTGGAGTGGCTGGCGCTGGCCACTCGTCACAACGACCGGTGACGGTCCTGAGTGGCTGCCGCGATGTCCAACCCAAGGAGGGTTCGGCTGCCATGTTTGTAGGGTTCGGTCGGTTCAGTCTCCTGCTGCTTGCCCCATGACAAATCCGGAGTATTCTAGGTTCCTTTCATGCGCTCGGCCACTTACTACCTTCAAGCAACCAATCATGAAGGTTTTTGACTGCTTTGGTGATCTTTGATTTGATGTTCAGATCATGGTGAAAACGGACACTGCCAAAACGAAACGACTGTTCTCGGAAACCACAATTGTCCGGAAGCATCCCATCGTTTTCTCGGGTCCACCTGGTCCTCCACATGCCTTCCCCCACGGTGGCCTGCGTTCGTAGACTCTCGGGTTCACCGAGTCGGGTCGGGTTCCCACAAGGGTGTTGCAAGCAGTGTTTTGATGGTTCACCTGGTGTGTTTTACCATGTTTGACCTCGACATGCTGGACATGCAAAGTTGCAGCAAACCCCAAGGTTTTTATTGGACTGAACCATCCGGAACCTTCTCCCGCTCTTCGAACTGTCCACCCCAGGCTGGCTTGGCTGTCCTGGTTCGCATTGATCGGCACCTTAGGGCAGAGGCAACGCTTGACTCGCTGCCGTGGGGCGGGAACGCACGCGAGGTGCCCTGACTCGCTCCAGGCTGACCTTGAGTGGATCAATTCTCGTAACTGGAGCATTTTTTGACGTCAGTGTTGACTGCATACATTTTCGGGATGGTGATAAGTTATATGTGGTTGGTGATAAACTACATTGGTGATAAACTACATGTATATGTGGTTGGTGTTAAATTCCAACCCTGTTTGTGCGCTTTATCATTTGGCTGGTGGAAGCCCAGTTGAATACCTAAAAATAGGCCGGTCGTGTTTCGATGCTTGTTCATTGATGACCTGCAATGCCTTGCCGGCTTTTGTGCGGGTTGTGGAAGTCCACGTCATTTCTCCTATCCCCTCCGACCAGTGTAATTAAGAACTAGTTTATGCAATACTACATAATAGAGAAAGACACTAATTTGGATGGCCTTTTGATCCAGCTGCACCCACCAGCGCACACTTTAAACAGTGAAGAAGCCAGAGAGGGCAAGCAAACAGGGTGAGCGGTTTCATGCAGAAGGTGTGCAATTTGGAAGGTCAGAGGCATGAGAGCTTGCAGCCCAAACCAAGATACTTCCAACTGGTGATCTGACACAAAGGATGATGTGCAGTTGTATCTCCTTGAGGGCGGATGTAACCCACTGGGTATGACACTTGGCGGTCAACCGCTGCCAGGCACATCGCCGTGCTACAGAGCTTGCAGAAGAGCGGCAAGCTGGTGCGGGCCCTCAGACCTGAGCCAACTCGAGTGGTTGACTTACGACTACTTAGCTTCTTGCTACTAGTAGTAATACCCGTGTTACTAGTAGCGATGCACCTGTTACTGCTAGCTTCTTGCTACTACTAGTAAGGCACCTTGTTACTACTCACTGGAGTATGGCTATGATTTTTCTGCAGGCCTCCTTGCAGTGATCAGAAGCAGTCCAGCTACGACCAACCACAACAGTTACCAGCTGCAAGAGTCTTTTCCAGTTACAGCGGGCTAGATTCTGATGGGGGACCTAGAAATTACCACAGGAAAAGAATCACTTGAACGTGTTTCAAGGTGGGGAACCCAACGACTGTTTTTAGGACAGTGTTTATGTATGTTTATGTCATACAGTTCTTAGAGTTATCGGTGGAGCTCGCCAAATCGGCATCCCAGGTCACCGATCGCCCCCCGATTCGCCGAGTCGTCGGATCAGCGCCCCTGTGAGGGTGAACTGCCTGTGCAGCGGATTGCTGTGCCACTTGGGCGAGATGGAGACGGTTTGGTCATACAGACAGGTTTGGCAGGGGGTCATAGATCAATCTGTGAAACTCCAGTCACTGTGGTGACCTTGGTAAGGCCAGGTCGGGGGTTTGTCTTGAAGACCAAGGCTAAGGATGGGATGTGACCCAAAACAACACGTCGCCCCGGTCAGTTGGAACACGGCTTTCGTTAGATCGTTGAGGCGAGACTCGACGCGTTTCGTCCGTGTTTCGTTGTGACTCGACGGGCACAAGAGGTGATGCACGGGGTGGTCTGGAGCCTCTCCAGACCACCCACACCAAGCATCTTGACAGCCCCCCAAACCGAAGGGCAGGAGTTCAACTGCACCTGCGCCTTCACAGGAGTGAAAAAGAGAAGCAGGTCTTTGTTTCATCTTGAAGTCTCTTAAGTCCTGGGGTGTGGACCTACGTTTCATTGAATTACCTTGAATCTCATCTCATGCTTAGATCGCTTGCAAAGAGGGTGACATGGGCGTTGTTCATGTTGAGGAGATGTTCGTTGACGTGCAGACATCCCCTGGATGATTCAAAAGGGCAACCCGCATGTGAAGGCTGGATGAATGAGGAGACTGGGGCATTCTTGCCGGGCAAATCATCCGTGGTGATTATCCAGCCCTGCGCGCATCGGTGCAGGCGATTCAACCCTCGCGACATGATCTCAGGAGCGAAGAAGACTCGTGTGCGACATGACTTCGAGCAGGCCTTTCAACCAAGCATCCTGGGGCATTTCATCGTGAAATGCCCTGGAGCGTTGACCTTTCGCGTTGGCCTTTGCCATGCTGAGCGATATGTGCCAGTGGAATTGAGAGACCGGTTCAAATAGCATAGGCACAATGAGGCCAGGTTTGGCCAGATGTCAACATGAACGAGACAAGAAATCATATAGTCAGCTGAAGGCCCTGGCGAAGTCAAATCTGTGGAAAATGCTGCAGCTGCCAGACCGCCAGGGGCCAGGCTACCAAGAGTCTTCCAGGCTTTCCTACACAGACTGATTCCGAGATTTGATCGCAATGGGGGGCTCGGACACAGGCAGGAGAGCAGCTTTTAGCTCTCTTGTGACGCGCCGTGTGCGCGTCGCGTGCGCTCGTTTTCAGCAAGTGCCGCCGTGCCGCCGCGGTGGCCGTTGAAACGCTGAGGCGATCAGCTTGGGAGATGTTCTACTTGGTCTTGGGTGCCATGATTTGGCAGGCGCCACCGGAAAAACCTCACCCACCTGGATTACCAAAAAATAACAAAAACAGGAGTGGTGGTGCCATTAGTTCACAACAATTTATAGTATTATATACATATTGTTTGTTGATCATTCAGTCCCTGTTACATTGCATCGTCCCTTTTGTTATCCCTTTCGCATTGCAACTCAGCCGTCTTGTGCCTCCTCCGTGAAACTGCACCGTCCGTTCTACGGCGGGCGCTCCGTCCGGGCGGAGGTGGGCCAGGGGCTCTTCAAAATGCTCATCAACGGCGTGATGCCCCAGGCGAGCCAGCGCCGTCCGAGCGCCGTCCGCGGCAAGCGCTTGCGCCAGGGGCAAGCGTCGGCATCAGCGTAGCCAGGGAAATGCCCGTTGGTCAAGCAAGGAGTGGAATCCAGGTAGGAGTAGGAAGCGATCCCTCCTTCCTGCGTGTGAGTTCATTCTCCCCGAAGTCCAATTATGGCATTTCGCTCATGGCCTGAGCAGAAGGGAATTCAGCATAAATCAGCTACTTTGCAGCTGTTGCTACATCTTTTTTAGGGGGACTGTGGAAAAATCGTGTTTGGTATGGACAGGCGTTTTTTGGAAGCGGTGTACCTTTGACATCGCCAGCCGGAAAACCTGAAACCTCCATGAACAACTTGGAAGTGGAACGCTAGCAGCTTACGATGAATGATTGTGCTGGAATAGCCCCCCAAGTCCTAGTATGAACTTAAATGATTGCGGCGGAACTTGTGCGGTGTCTCTACTATTCGCTACTTGCACGGGTTCCCCCAAATATCCAGGTGTGCCCCTCTATGGTCAGAGCTGCCCTGCCTTCCCAGAGCTTGCTGCTTTTATGTTGTCGTCCTTGTTTCCGATATGAATCAAGAGATATGAAGATAATGTTGCTTTGCGCTTGCTCGAGGCGTTGCGAGGATGTTTCAGAGGGATTGCTGAACCCGGTCCAACGAAGAAGTGTTTTTAAAGAATGCCTTAAGTGCAGTAGGCGGTTCATCCAGTCTCTGAAGCTCCACCAGAATCGACGCCGATTCCACACAGAGTTCTATGGCGATTCTGGGAATACAGATAAGCAAGGTTCAACCAGATGGTCTGGTAGCAAGAAGCTAGTAGGTTGGAGGCCATCGCTATTCGGCTGGAGGCCATTACTACTAGTAGCAAGAAGCTAACGAACGTAGCAGGACCCTGGTGACCCCATCAACAGTTCTCTTGCGACCGTGACGACGACCCTTCTCCGCTCGCTCCAGGAGCTCCAGTTCTACGCCCCCTGGCTGCCCTTCTTTGAGCTGGGCGAAGACGTGGACGTAGGCCGGGGGGAACGTAGGGGGGTTCCCTGAAGAAGGTGGGAAGCAAACGTTTTCGTCCAAGCAGGTCTCCAGGGAAAGGATCTTCCGTCAGGAATGTTCCACCCTGCTGGGACGCTAGTTCATATTTGCGAGCCATGTGTGGGGAGGTGCTGGGACCATCCCAGAGACACAGATGTCATTCATCCCTTTAATTTCTTTGTGAGTAGCACTTGCCAGAGTAGCAGTGGCACTACTTACTTGATAAGCCTGACATGCGTGTCCAAGGTGGTTCTCCATCGCCCCTTCTTTCAGCCAAACAGGCCCCTCCTCACACATCCCACCGTTTGCTGGGGGACGGCAGCTCACACATTGAGATGGAGTCTGATGCCGGGCACTGCACCATACCACCTGCACAGTCGTGCACAGTGCTGCTTGTACCGGACATTCACAATTTCTGTACAATACATAATATCATGTTTTGTTTTATGTAAGTATAACAGTATAGGCATAGCCAAATTCACACCGCCGTCTCTTCCTTTGAAAACACGACCTCTCCTGCAGGTGTGGCGGCCTACTACGCGCCCAAGGAGGCCCTGAAGTCCAAAGTGGGTCCGCACCACTTCGTGTGCAGCGTCCGGCCGGGACGCCCAGCCCGTCCGAACGCCGTGGGGTTTCGTCGTAAGGCGGTGCACACGAAAGCGCGCAGAGAACGCTCAACCGCTTCAGAGCTTTCAAACCAAGGAGATGTTCACGGATCTGAGGTGTTAGATGGTGTTAGCAGCAATATCATGTGTGGTTTTCAGGTTTTACAGTTCAAAGAAATGCTTAGGAACAATCACATGCGTGCTCTATTGGCTATCATCATTTGGCCATCATCATCCCCAGAACGCCTGGTGTTGTGGCACAGCGAAAAGCTGAAGACTCATGGGGTGTCCTGCCTGCAGAGTCTTCCCAGAACCTGAAAAGGCTGATCTTGCAGAGGAGAATCATCTTCCACGGGTCAACTTTCAGGTTCCATGTTAATTAAACTGACCTTAAACATGACCTTCGTTCACGGAGGAGGTTCTTGTGGCGTTTTGGATGGGTCATGCAGGTCAAAACGAAAGGCATTCCCGCTTTTCTAAAACAAGACGAGGGATGGGCGTTCAAGTCCGTTGAGTGAACCAACTTTTCAGCTTACTCTTCTTGAGTCACTTCCGCAACCACTGCGGTCGAGTCCAAAGTCGAGTCGCCATGTTCGATGTGGTTTAGCCTTTCCCCCGTGATGTACTTCCACAGTAGCACGAAACAGTAGCGGTTGAGGTTTGTTTTCCCAGCAGTAGGTTCAATCCTCCTGGAGACTAACACCATTGGGAAGACCCCAAATTTTATGGAACTCGAAGCAGTGCAGTGGGGTTCTCAATTTTTTTGTTGAACCACATCCAGATGGGTGGTGCTCAAGAACAGATCCCTAAGGCCTCCCCAAAATGGTTCATGGGCAAATCCCATGAATCTGAGGTATCCGATTTTTCGAGCCAAGCAGCTGGGTACTTGCAGAAGAGGCTCCACACAACTGGAACCCTCAGAGCCCCCTCCGGCACCTGTACCCGACGCCCGGGAGGCACCTGGACCCCTCGCACGCGGAGGGCCAGCGGGATTTGCAGCTGCAGCAGAACACCGCCCCTCGCCGATGAAGCGAGCTGCAGCTCATGCAAAGGGGTGGGGCGCCAACGAAAAGCCGCCACTGCGGCATGCGTTTTGGGGCGTTTTTGGGCGATGCACCATGGTGAAGTCTGAATTGCCAGGGAGGAAATACTGCTCTTTGATCGCACGAATGAGAAGTTGTGTGGATGGACAGTGGACCTGGAGTCGTATCGAGTGATCTTGAGAATCCCACTCTGGTGCATGCGATCTCAAGGATAAGGTGACTTGCTCAGGCGTAAGACACAAACGACCTGGATTTCGGTTTCATTGCCTCACTCTCAAAGAATCACTGGGACATGTGGCAGCCCATTCCTGAAGGATTGGTTCACCCTACTTGTGGGCTCACGTGGTGGTATTTGCGCCAGTAGTCCCAGGGGTTGGTCTAACTAACAGTGGACCCAAGCGCCTGTACACACCATTGTTCGATGCAGCGTTGACAACAAAGCAGGTGTTGTGTTAGTCGACTTAGTCGACTCTCTACTTGGATGGACGAAAGAAGGTACTTGGATGCACTCCAAGAGACGGACTGTTCTTTGGCATCCGGATGCGGTTCAAGGTCACCTTCAGCACACTTGGGAAGACCTTGGCCAAGCACTTCAACAAGCCTGAAGCCCATGTGATCGCTAGGGCTGAAGCACTGGAGCTGAGAGCCTACTGAAGCTTGGCTCTGCACTTGATGGTGCTACTGAACGGGCAGTCTTCGCAGGTGTCCAAGAACCCGACTGGAACGTTCGTGGCAAGCCACTTGAGGTTGTGGCACTTGCACATCACGCTGCAAGGTTGTCACTACATGGCCTGGAACGCGAACTCTACGCGGGCAGACACTTGAGGAAGGCCTTCAAGCGGAGCTTCATCCCTTGGACACCAACGAACGTGCAGCATGGCTACGCTTGGCAGAAGTTCCAAGAACTTGTCAGCAACATCTCCTGTGGTCTGGGACCTTGGATCTGATCCTGGAGGCACTGCTGCGCACTTCTTGCGTCAGAACCCTTCGCTTGTTGAGACCTATTCTCGGGGCTCGCCTGGCAGCTTTCGGATGATGCTTCGGAAGCAGCACTGATGGTTGGGACCTTGAATCCTAGTGGGATCGCGGGAAAATACGATCTCATCAAGCAATTTCCTTCAGGCTGGTGGTCAGTGGCTGAGTCGCAAGCTGCGGAACATCAGTTGAAATCCTTTAGCAGTGTGATGAGGAGACGAGACGATGATGCTTGCTCCTTTCGTGTTCTAGCTGGCGCACCAGCTCCACTCTGGACAGGGGGTTGTGCTGCTGGCACCTGGACAGGAGTCCTACAATTCGTTGATAGACCTCCGCAACGAGTCTGTCTTGATTGGCCTATGAATGTATGGGAGAGTGGTCGGGTCGTGATGGCTGTGTTTAGGGTCTCCGCCTTTGACGTCACTGTTGCAACAGTGTATTTGCCACCTCGTGGTCCTACCTTTCCTGAGGCGGGGCGACTGGCGGAAGAACTGCTGCATCCGATTACCTCCAAGCTAATTCTGGGCAGAGAGGGTGTTCGAATGGTTGTGGGTGACTTCAACAACACATGTGATGGCATTCATGCTTTCCGTGTCTGGAGGCTTAGTGGTTGGGAGCTTCAGGTTCTGATGAGTCGCCGATTTGGTCTCCCAGCGCGACCCACTTGCAAAGGTTCGACGGCGCCTGATCAGATTTGGCTTAGTCCGGAGGCACAAAGACTGATTTGCCATGTTGGCTTTGCTGATCTTTTTCCAGATCATTTGGTGCTGGCTGCGAAATTGCAATTCCCTGGTGCTTTGGAGAAACAGTTGCATTGGAGGATTCCTGACAAGCTGCCATGGGATCATGTTGATCGAACTTCTCTGAATAGGATGTGGGCCTCCAGACAACCTTTCTCATGGAGTGATGATAGCACTTGTGATTTGGAGCGAAGGTGTAGTGAATTGAAACCACCGTTCTTAATGCCGTCACCACGGGTGATCGTGGCCTTTCCAGAAGCTGTGGGCGTTGTGCCACCACCTGTCCTGTTCCTCGTTCGTTTTCTCCGGGCATTCCTAAGGGAAGCAGAAATGGTGAGCAGATGATTCTATCAAGCTTTCTTGGAAGGGCTGTGCAATGTTTGTGGAAGCAATTGAGGAGATTCCCATCCTTGCTGCATACTCTCAGAAAGAATTCTGACTCGGTCGCCTCGCGCATCTATAGGACACAGGTTTAAACCTGGAATCAGATTCGTGCTGCCAAAGGTTTTCGTCCGAACTTCTGCAAATGGTGGGAGGGCCGTGTGAAAAAATTCCAGGGCGCACCTGATCGTCTTCCGGACCTTGTTCCTTCTGTTGCAATAATTGAAAATATGTTTGAAGACGATGCTGCAAATTATCGGGCCTTCGAGCGATGGAATCAGGACCAGACAAAATTGGATGCGTCAATTGCCCGTACCTATCAGACTGTCAGAGACTCTTTCCGAGCTCCTTTGGAGACACTGGTGGATGTGCTGGAGGCTCCAATCATGAGCGTAGACCCCAGAGATTGTTCAGTTGCTGCAGACATTTCTTGTGCTGAGAAGTCTGTTCTCTACTGGACGCTGAATGGTTTGCCCGTGAGTGTCACGCTGGTGGGTGAGCGCTTTCGCGTCGATTCTGACGGGCTTGTACTCCCGGGGGCAAATTGGCGTGTCACTGCCTGATTGCAAATATTGCTGATATACACCAAAGACTATGTGATCCATTGCCTTTGCTGATGCTTATATGCCTCAAGGACACTATGTTTTGCCTTCATGGAGCCTGGCAGATTGGACTTCTGGCGTCCGCAACTTCAAGGAGAGGACCGCCACTGGGCCTGATGGTTGGGCTAGAATTGACGTTGCTATGCTTCCTGAGCACGCGGTGGGGGACTTGTTCATGCTGCTAGAGGGCATTGAGCACGGTATTGATTGGCCACTTCAATGGCAAACGGCGCTGGTGAGGTGTCTTGAGAAGGCCCCCAACTCTATCGCCTGTGGTCAGGGCATCGATCGAGGCAGCTTCTGGCATACCTGTCCAGATTTGGCGATGAGCTCCAATGTGGATATGCGCATGGCCGTGAGGCCAGTGATATCTGGTATCATGTGCAAACATTGATTGAGGTTCACCTCCTTACTGGAGGCGAGATTCATGGAGCTGTTGGTGATTTGGTGAAGGCATTCAATCTCCTTCCTCATTTGCCGATCTTTCACATCAGCCTTCTTTCATTGACTGCTGGAGACGATTCCAGTCGGGCCTGAGCCGAAGATTCACCGTTCACGATAGCTGTGGACCACCTATCTTTAATGTCACTGGCTTTGCTGAGGGCTGCCCTTTATCGTGCGTTGGTCGATATTGTGCGGCGCCTGTATCAGAGGCAGTTTTCCCACATCAGCAGACCTTTGTCGTACGTCGACAACTTAGAGATCCTAGGCTCCACCTAGGCTCTACTGCGAGAGCTGTGGTTCATGGTGTTCACATTCTGCGTGGGTGTCACATCATGGATGTCGAATTGGATGAGCCCAAACTGATTGCTTGGTCTTCCTCCTCAACAGGACGCCAGTTTCTTAGAAGTCAAGGTTTTCGGGTTACCCAGCATGGAGGGCAGGTCAACTATGGAAGAGCGCTGCGCAATCATGTTGTGGTCTCCAGGATCAAGGGTCTTCCATGTGGTCTGGCGGCATTTCGACGCTCTTGCCTATCTTCAATGCAAAAAGCCTGGTGCATCCATGGCTCATTGTTTCCCAGTGCACTACATGGCTGTGAGAGTGTCTGGTTGGGCACTCATCACTTTGGAGCATTGGGCAGTCAGACCACGCAAGCGATGAAATGGCAGGGGGCGGGCGCAAGTCAGGTTGTCCGGCTCAATCTTCTGCATATGGGTTCCTTGGACCCAGGCTTCTTTCAGCTTTGGAGAGTGCTTTCATTGGCGAGGAGGCAATTCCTACGCTTTGATCATCTTTCTCAGCTCTGGACTCGTTTTTCTGAGGCCTTGACTGAAGCTGAGCCAGCAGGTTGTGGACCGTTTGCCAAGTTGCGCGAGCAGATTAGTCAATTGGGCTGGAGGTCGGATAGCAATTTGAACCTGTGGATCTTGTGGGATCTTTGCATTCCTTTTCTGAGCTCTCCCGGCGCTTTGCTTAAAGATCTTGCTTTGTGGCACCTTGACCTCTCGAGCTGGCTATGTGGATCTGGCAGGCTATGAGCATGACATTGTCGTTGCTGCCAACCATGCAAGGACTGGACCCAGGCAAATTGAGCTCCTGAACATTGTGCGGGATGGTGGTTTCTCTGATGGATGCCACTTGTCCAAATTTGATCCTAAGGTTCCGAAGTTTTGTGTAACCTGTGGTGAACTAGACACTGCTGAGCATAGGCTTCGACCTTGTCAATATGCTGCAGTTCGCTTGCCTTTCGAGTCGTTAGTTCGACATTGGCCTTCGGCTGCTGCCTTGCGATGTGATGCGTGGAGAGCCCTTGATAAGCTTCATGAAACAGCTTGATTCCGGATTTCGATGCACCTTGTGCTGGAGTCATCAACATCTTCACTGATGGTTCTTGCACACAAAATGGTTGCTGCTCGCTGGCCTCCTGGGCTTTAGAAAAGCTGCACGGTTTCCAGTGGCTGGCTTCCAGGATTGCGACAGACAATCAACCGCGCAGAGTGTTGAGCCTTGCTACAGGTTCTGTTGTGGGCTGCATGCTGACTTTCGAGGAGAACTGCATGTATGGAGTGACAGCTCCTATGTCGCACTCGTACCACGCAAGCATTGGTTGCTTTTGATCCTTCAGTTGACAACGCAGACATCTGGAGTCGAGCCTGGAAGGCAATGACTTGCTTCAAGGGGCTGCTTCGCTTACATAAAGTACCTTCGCACGAGGATCCCTCGTTTGCTACTGATCCTTTGGCCGAGTGGGCAACACGTGAAAACGGCCTGGTTGATCAGGCCGCAGTGCAAATCAATGCTGAACGCCCGGCTTGGTTCTGGCAGATTTGGACTCCATTTGCAGC